AAAAAAACACCATTCCACTCACCACCTACCGCCCCACAGCCTTTCTCCTTCCCCCAGCATCCCGCCCCCAACCCAGCACCGCACCCTCCAGTCCCTCGTCCCCCATGCCCTTCCCCACCCTCTTCCGCCCCTCATGCCCCATGCCCGCACCCACACTCTTCCGCGCCCTCCGCATCATCTCTCGCTCAAACTTCGCAACCTCCGGCTCCAACGCCTTAATAATCGCCTCTCTTCGCAACGTGCGATGCCACTCATCCAACTCCTCCGCATCCTTGTCCTTAGCGGGGTCCCCAGCGCCGCCCACCCCCGCCGCCCTATCGCGCGCCCGCACAATTGCGCCCACCAGCTCCAGCGCGTCGCGCATGGCGAGGTCGACCCCCTCGCTCCCCCCGATCTCGCTCCACGGACTGCTGGCGTGCAGGTGCGCCGCGTCGCCGAGCAGCGTCGCGTCCGCGCGGGGCTCCCAGCTGTGCGTCGCGGGGAGCGCGCGCAAAGGGCGCAGCAGGGGCGGCGCCTTGGCATTGGCGTCGGCGTCGTCGGCGGCGATGTCAGCGAACGGGTCTGCAAGCACGCCCGTGGCGGCCAGCTCCTCGAAGCCTGCCGCCACGAGCTGCGCCGCCGTCGGGAAGTAGAAGGACTCCTCGGCCGCGAGCAGGCGCGCCGTCGTCGCCGCCAGGCGCGCCGGATCCGCCGTGCCCGTCGAGAAAGGGTATACGGCGTTGAAGGCCTCGGCGTCGGCCGGCCAGCGGAAGTAGACGTTTACGTTTGCGACGTCGGCGGGCTCACCTTGTCCGCGCCGGTAGTGAAACGCCTCGACGGCGACGCGCTTGCCGCGCGCGACGAAGCCCCCACCCCCGGCGGCGTCGACCTCGCGCGCCAGCTCCGGATACGCCTGCTCGAAGCCGGTGATGGTGAGGCTGAGGACGCGCACGCCCGCCGACTTTGGGATCCGCCCGCTCAGGATGGCGCGGAGTTTTGACGCGCGGCCGTCGGCGCCAATGACGAAGTCGAAGGGCTGGCGGCTGCCCTCGCCGAAGTCGAGGCGCAGCGCGTGCGGCGTGCGGCTGTTGTCGGGGGCGCGGCGCGTGTTGCGCAGGCGGTGGCCCCAGCGGATGCAGTCGGGGGGGAGGTGGTGGAGGAGGAGGGCGGTGAGGCCGAGGCGGGAGATCTGGCGGGCGGTGGAGGAGGCGGAGGTGGAGGTGGGGGTAATGGTGGTGGCGAGGGCGCGGTTGCAAAAGTCGGCGTAGACGCGATTGCCGGCGGCGCGGAGGGCGGCGAGCCCGCTGTGGTTGTGCAGGTGCAGCAGGCCCGACGACGGCTGCTCGGCGCGCAGGGCTTTGAGCGTGGGTTGCGGCCGCTGCTCGAAGAGGGTGAAGGCCATGTTGTGGGCGTGCAGGAGGAGGGCCGTCGTCAGGCCTGCGGGGCCGGCGCCGATGATGGCGATGCTGGGTTGCGGGGGGAGCTTTAGCTTCACCATGGCTGCCCGCCTGCAATGAATTGTGAAAAAGAATTGACGTAGCAGCTTGTCGATTGACGCAAACGCGCCTTAGCTAAGCTACACAAGCAGTTCTATAAATAGCCCAGCCCATGCACACCTAAACCTGCACGACACCCGCCCACCTCTCGACATCGGCCCCATCCGGGTACTGCTTCATCTCGCCCGCCTCCTCGGCCGGAGAGCACCCACCATCAACATCCAGCTCCTCGACCACCTTAACCGGCACCGCAATCATGCCCTCGCCATCGCGCATCTCAGTGCTGACAACGCCCAGCTTCTCCAGCGCGGCCTTGTCGACGCCACCAAACCGCAGCGTCTTGGCCGGATCGAGGCCGTGCGCTGAAATGCGCGCGTCGAGGGCGCTGTCGCCGTCGGCGCGAGCGAGCGCTTTCGGCGCCGCCGCGAAGGTCGTGTTGGAGGCGGAGAAGTACACGGCGCAGAGGCTGTGACGACGACGTGTTGGTTAGTGCGTTTTGAAGCGGGGAGAGGGGCATGGGGCAAACGCACAACTTGCCCTTCTCGAGCGACGAGCCCGGCACGTCCGTCGCCTTGGGGAAGACGTAGATGGCCTCGCCGAGCGGGCCGTCGACGGCGTTGCGCGCCTCGACCGTGCCTTCGTCCTTCCAGAGCGAGTCCTGTGCATGCAGTAGCCGATCAGTGGAAAGTCCGGCTTTGAATCCCTCTCTCTCTCCCTCTCCCTCTCTTGGCTTTCTTGCACAGCCCGTAAAGTGTCGCTTACCGTCGACGCGACCGTGTACCCCAGCAGCGTGTGCCGGTCGCTGGTGGTGCGGCTGATGCCGTAGACTATGCCGTTCTCGCGCGCAACAGCGGCCGTGATGAGTGCGGTGAGGCTGAGGAGTGAGAGCTGGAACTGCATTTTGGTGGTGGGGGATTGAGAGAGTATTTGTGGAGAGTGGTTGTAGCTTGGGAATGAATGAATGAATGAATGAATGGATGCGATCTGTTGGCAGTGATGATGGTAGTGATGATGCAGCCACAAACACAACCCCTCCGCTCTCTAAATACACGCACGAAATTCCCATCTCCGTCCGGCCCTAACCCTACGACTCGCCTGCCCCCACGCCCCGCCCCCTTCCCGTCAGGCCGTCCCCGCATTTTCTTAATCCTTCCATGGGGGCCGAACACCCTCCCGGCTTCCCGCCATCACGCTTCTATATTTGGCCCCTCGATGTCGAGATTATAGTACTGCATAAGGTAGCAGGATTGCCGCTCCTCGCATCCTGCCGTTCCTGCGCCCCGCTATGCCCCGCTGAGATGGCGTGGCGTGGCGTGGCGTGGCGCTTTGGGGAAAAGCTTGACTCGACGACGACGACGCGGCTTGAGGGGGAGGGTGGCACGGGATTCCGACTCGGTATTCTTTTTTGTCGCGCGAACTTGGAACGTCTGGGGTTGTATTGTGGTTTGTTTGTTGTATTTGTTGTATTTGAGACACGTTAAGAGCAATCACATTCAAAGGAACTGAGATCGGAGTATAGGTTTGCATTTTTACGTTTTTTGTGTATTCTAGTTTTGCAAGTGTTTTTGTGTTTTTCTCCGCCGATTTTTCTAAGAAAAGGAAAAGAGCCCAGACGTCCCAACTCCAAGACCATGACCGCCTTCTAACGCTACTGCCAAAAGCTGAAAGAAACAAAGTCAAAGTGGAACACTGGTGACTGATCCCAAGTCTCGGAAATGCAGTAGGAAAAGAACTTACCAGGAAGTCTAAGCATCGTCATCATCCTTGGCCTTCATCGCCGTCTTCATCTTCCGCAGCTTCCCCACCATGCGCTTGCCCAGACCCTTCTTGCACGTCTGGCACAAGCCCGCAGAATCGCCATCTGCACCTTCGGCATCGTCAGCAGAAGGAGCAAGGGTAGCGCTTCCCGAGTTGCTGCTCCGGCGGTCCGCAATCTCCGACCTAAGCAGCGCAATCTCAGCGTCTTGCTGCCCAAAATCGCTAAGTATCGACCTGAGCAGCGCAATCTCGGCATCCTGCTTCTCGGCATTGCGGCGGAGCAGCTCAACCTCGGAGCTCAGAGCCTCGAGCTGCTCGGCCTGCTGTGCGGTCAGCGCGGACAACTCACTCTTCTCCTCTTCCAGGCCCTCGATGACGCTGCTGTGGACCTCGTTCATGCGCTCAGCCATGCGAATATCCCTCAGGCGCTCGGCCTGCACGCCCTGCTCCGTTTCCTGCGGCGTCAGCATCTCCTGCAGAAGCGTGAGCTGGTTCGCTTGCACGTTGGTCCTGTCGGTCAGCTCCTCGATCCTGTGCGCGCGGTCGGAGCTCGTGGTCGAAAGCTCGTTGATGAACGCAGCCGCCCTCCTCATCTGGCTTCTGATCCGCTCGATGAGGTGCGCGCGGCCTCGGGTCTCTGCTGTCATGTCCGAAATGCGCTTGGCTTGCTCCGAGTTCGTGGCCTCTAGCGAGCGGATGCGCCCGGCTTGCTCGCAGTTCTCGACTCGGAGCCTGCTGTTGCGGAAGGTTAGCTGCGATATCATCTCGAACCCCTGGGGGGCGTTGCTGTCATTGCCGCCTTGGCCCATCCTTGTCAGTGATATGGTGGTGTGCGTAGTTTTGTGGGTGTTGTGAGCGTTGTGTACTTACAGTCTCGCTGTTGCGTGTCGCTGTTGCGTCGCTGTCGTTGCGTTGCTGTGGTGCCGTTTATAATGCCCGACTGCCTCACTGGATATATGCATCTGAGTTAGCGCATTGTCGTCAGATAATACGTGTATAGTTACTGAACGTTCAGGAGTTGTGTCTGTTTCCTCGGGTAGCTGGCTTTTGGTAAGCTCTGCGTTGCTCTTTGTGTCTGCGGTTGGCTTCGTTCAACTCGAGTCTTGTCCGTTCATCTTTGTTCGTGAACCATGTCACTGTTAATTTCCTCGTCGTTGATCAAGAAGGTAACAAAGAAAACCGCACAATGCATGCACACAAGACTGTGAAGTCCCGGGGCAGCAAAATGCATCTTTGGACCACTTTGAACGTGATGCCCGCGTCAAAATCGGACTTCATGCCTTGATGGCTGACCTGCGCGGACAACTAAGTCCGGAGAATGAGAGAGAGTAACCCATAGCCGGTTCGCGAAGAGTGCTACTTCGTTGGATGCTCGTGGACAGTACCGTTGCAGCGGAGTGCAGGGAGTCGCGTGACGTGTCGAGGAAATCATGGGGCGGGTACTGCACTGAGTGGTGAAGAAAGGCGCGCTATACCCTGTTTAGCATCAGCCCTACTGTTCATAGAATTCGGTAATGAATGGGCAGGCAGCTGCCGGGGAGGGGGTGACGTAAGGAGCTAGTACGAGCAGCTGGATGACAACAAGGGAAGGGGCCGGGCAGCCCACCTCCACCTAAACAACACCACGTCCATCAACCCGCCCGCCACACCAACGACTGCGCCTCTGCACCCTCGCGCCTCAAAGTCAGCAGCATCAACGTCGCGTGCACAACATCACGATCACGGCCAACAAGACCACTTGCGCAGTCACTCAAAGCCTGAGCGCTGTTCCAACCACGTCAGACACCGGCAACAACACCATGGCCGTTCCCATAAGTCCCGGCTTGGAAACCGTGTGCCTCAGCCACTGGATATTCAGTAGGTAGCCTGACCTGTGCCAGATTCGTAGCGTGGTTGGAGATGCTCATTCAAGTTCCAGGACCGCACAAGACACGCCGAACGTCGCTACAATTCACAATGAACATCGCAAATCTCTAATGGATCGACAACAAATAGATCTTGCCATCCACGTATGCCACGCCGCTTTACATAGCCCTCACGCGCAAAGCAAACGAACAATGCATGCTCTACTCTCCCAGCAAACTCGCCACTATCCCCGTATATAAACCCCCTCCATCTTCCTCTTCAACCGCATCAGTCTCTCAACACACAGACACAAGAACACCAACTCCCAACACACATATAACACACAACTTCAACAATATCATTCAACACGACTATGGCCACTGTCAAGCCTACTCCACCAAATCCTGAGAATCTTGCCAACATTTTCGGCGAGCTCTATACTACCTGGGCCATTGACTCCGATGACCGCAGCATTCCGGCCGCGCTGAAGCGCCTCTTCGGTCGCAGTCGCGCCTTCTGGATGGACCCAGTACTGCGCCGCTTCAGATGGACCCTCTTAACCGGCTTAAACATGCCACGGGATCCCGATCACCCACTGGACCCCGCCATACGCTTGCCAGGTGTACATGCGGCGCTCCAGGCCCGCGCCGATATGCGTTATGTCCCGGAGCGCACGAAGCTTGTGCACACCGCTGACGAAGTCAACTTCTTAAGCTTGAGCCCCGTCGAGCTGGCCCTGGAGGCAAGCCTCGTGCATCAGCTGCGCTGTTACAACGTCCAGAACACCCCGAGCTCCCAACTTGACCTTGGCATCCACCACACAGGTACAAGGTACCGCCTGGCACCCAATGCAGTGGATGTTAATCACTTCGAGAGCGAGGCCTTAATAGGCGATAACCGTTTACTACCGCAGCGCCTCATGTACTTCGTCGTGACGACGGCAGCCCACACTCCTGCTATTATGGAGGCTTAGCTCATTGCCAATGAGGAACAACGCATGGCCGCGATCGCGGCTGCTGAAGCAGCTACTTCGGCCACCGAAACCCGAAACCTGCGCGTCTTCGGTACGATCCAGACGCTGGATAGAGGGTACATGCGACATCATCATCATGATCTCTTGCTTTGGGACGAAACTGAGTGGCAGCTCGCGGGCCAGATAGGTGCAAACGGATACGTCATGGCGCTCTGGATCATCCATACGAATGTGGTTAATGGCGAAAGCAATGGCTTGGGAGAGACGCCGACGCCGCCACGGCCCCAGATGCGGCGCATTGCCAACGTGCGCGGCCTCGCTGATTGCAAGCGGGATATGCGCCTGCAATGGACCGAGGGCAAGATCCGCATCCTCAGCATTGCACCTGTTTATGCGCTGTCGGCGCGCAATGTCGAAGAAGATGCGGCAGCCAATGAGGCTGCAATTCGAGTTATGGACCCAAGTGAGTCGGAGACGGATACAGATACCGCGTCTGAAATAGCTCCGGAAGAGGATCATGCTGCTGCTTCTGATAACGACAAGGGAACTCAGACCGAAGACGCTGTCGATGACCTTGCCGAGGACAAGCCTGTTATTACTGATACTGCTGTCGATGCGGACGTCGAAGATGGCCCCGCCGACGACTTAAACCGCTTCTTCCCTATGCCGGGTCACTTCGCCCTCATGTATAACGGCTTTAGTTAAAGATTGATGGTGCTTCTTCTTCTTCTGCATTTTGGACTCGGAACAGCGTGGGCGCTTTACGTCCTACGACTGACTCACGATGATGAAGGCACTGCGTATAGCAGGACAGTGCTTTCTCTTCATACGGTTCCGCACCGAGCCCTTACAACAGACATGGGCACTCTACGACTTTTGATTGGCTAACGACGATGAAGATAGTGCTTCTCTCTCCTATGGATCTATACTTTGCCGATGAAACAGGTTTGGGTACTTCACAGCCTTGGATTAACTGACTGATTGGTTCTTTTGGATAGTTTGATTGATAGTAGCCGGATTGGATTTGTCATTTTGCGATATCTTCACAAACCAAAGTCACAAAAACACGGGTAAAGAATGCTAGAAAATATTAAAACAGGAGTTTTTGCTTTTAACTATGACCGGCGCTTGAAATTTGTGTGAAAGTTATGATGTGCTGAGCCGGGTTCGTCGAGGACGCTGTCCGGGTCGCTGAAGCGAGGGTGGTTGTTCCGCGCACACGCATGCGGTTATTGATTGGACATGCCTCGTAGCTGGCAATGGGACTCGGTTTTTGCAAGAACAGCCTCGTCAAACTGCTTTTAGGTCTACTTTGGGATTCCTTAAAAGTAATAGCCCGGGTTGTAAGCGCAAATCGCAAGCCGAAGGACTTAACGGTCCGAATCGCGCGGAATGCTGCATCGCAAAATGATGGAGGACTTTCGAAACGCTGACTTTTGGCTTGGTGGGATTGGTGCACGCAGAAAGAAACTGATTTCGTGATGAAAGACGTGATGAAAGCCTGTTAGTAGTGTCTAACTGGAAAGGGAAGTCGTTCCGATTACAGTTTTTTGTCTTGGGGCCGTTTGTTTATCAGCCTCGAATTTCTAAGCACTACTATCTCCCATAACTACATTTGGAAATCTGTCCGCAGTACTCTATGCAACTACATGAAAGCTACGCAGAGCGGTAAGTCTGACTGGAGGGAGATATCGACCGATGCTGATATGTTATTACATAGCAACTATCTAATGTTCAAGGCCTCACCTTCTTTCCGTTGATAATAGCTTTTGGAACTAATTCCGGATCTTTTCGAGAAACAAAAATATTCACTTTAGGGTGGTAGTATACCGTCGCGGAGAAAGCTGATGAGTTAGTGATGTCACGCAATTCAGCCTCAAAAACGGCAGGATACCCGAATCTTAAGCATGTATAAGATGATACCCACTCACTTTTTTACCTGATGACAAATTTAGAGCTCAAGATATGCCTATTTATCTACCTACCGTAGTACTTGCAGTTTCAAGTCATCATCACTTCCCAAAAGATTCTTACGTCCTCCATTTATCGACACTACAATCACAATGCCCGGACTCTTCAACCCCATCACTATCGGCGACTCTCTCGAGCTTCGCAACCGCATCAATATGGGTGCTTTGACGCGGAACCGCTGCATCAACCACAACAAACCCACCGAAGCTGTTGTTGCGCACTACGCAATGAGAGCAAGAAACGGGCCTGGCTTGATTGTAGGAGAAGGCACGTTCATTTGCCCGCAGGGCTCTGAATACCCGTATGCTCCTGTCATGTACAAGGAAGAACATGCGAGAGCTTGGGAGAAGGTCACGGATGCTGTCCATCGGGAAGGAGGAACGATGTTTTTTCAGGCGTGGCATGCCGGTAGGTCCTTCTTGGTATCATTCAATATGTTTGGCGAGTTGACAGGAATTCAGGGCGGCTTCAGCACGAAGACATGCCGATGCTTAAAGAGTCGGGCTTTCCTGTTCAAGTGCCGTCAAATGTGCCGGCTCCTGGTGGGAAATTTAGACTGCTGGAAGGGGTTCCTGTGTGTTTATCGATCTGAATATTATTATAATTTTTTGACTGACTGTCATCGCAGGGCTACAGTCACAACTTGACGGAGATTAAGGATCCGAATGAGGTTGTCGAGCAATACAAAAGTTCTGCGAGACTAGCAAAGTTGGCAGGCTTTGACGGGATTGAGCTTGTTTCTCAAGGGTAAGAGTCGATTTCTTTGGTATAGACGTATTTGCTCATTGGTAACTGTAGTGGATACCTCCTTCACTCCTTCATGATGACGTAAGTGTATCTATGTCCGGTTTGATCTATGCAGTCAATGGATCTGTTTCTGAGTTATTGACGTTTCCTCTTCAAAGCCACACAAACAAACGGAAGGACTCCTACGGAGGCTCCGTGAAGAACCGATGCCGCATCGTCCTGGAAATCGTTGACGCGCTATGCGATATTTGGGGGCCGCGTCGCATCGGCATCAAGATCTGCCCCACCGACGACGTCAATGATTCCATTGTCTCATACAAAGAGCTCTCTGAGACTTACACATATCTCATCAAAGAAATTGTTGCCAGAGAGCTGGCATATGTCAACCTCACGCGCCGCGGCTGCGTGAAGAGCCGTGCCGATGGTCTTGACGAGATGAAATTGCACCTGAGACCAGCGGGAAAAGAACTGCCGCCGGGATATGACCCATTGAAGCAGTTTGGCCCGATGATTAAGTTTCCAGGTGAGTGGAATTCGCATACATTTCTATCTACATTGCCACAGAGCTGATTCTCCGAGCCAGGAAGCAAGACGAAGCTCATGGTCAATTGGAACTTCTCCATTGAGGCGGCGGACAAGCTCGTGAAGGAATCAAAGATCGATATGGTCGAGATTGGTCTTCCCTTTGTTACAAATCCGGTGAGAATTCTCGAACTTGAATTTTTTTCTTCTTTGCTAACAAAGCGCGGAAACAGGACCTTGTTTCCCGTGCGAAAAACGGAATACCTCTTGCTGAGAATGATCGGGGTGGAAAGGTTTACTATGGGCCTTACAGTGACGTCAACGAGAACTACAATGATTGGCCTACAGCAGCTGAAGCTGTACCTGTGAAGCCATGATGCTTAACTACCGACAAGTATCCCTTTGCGTGTTGCCGGCCACGGTCTTGCAGTTGCCAAGAAGCTTCTCCTGAGTTGTACAAGGAAGCGAGCATACGACTTGAGATTTTCGCTCAAGCAAGTATAGAGACTTCCAAATCAAGGATAGGCTCTGGTGACACGAGCAGGGGAGAGGTGGGACGCGATTTAAACCCGCAATGGGATAATTCTCTACTTTAGATTCTCTTTCATACACATTTAATGCACACCTGCTTAAGTATATTGCGCCTGCGTGCAGACGCGTCCCATTCTCGAGGGGAAAATGCGGAAATTCGGCCTAGCCGAAGACTCCGAGCATTGTTTTGAGGGGCAGCTGGTATACGGGCTATCCAGGATCAAATAAAGTAACCCCACTTCAACCCATGGACAAGGTTCTGTGCCGGTATTCGCGAGAGTGTCGGTCAGATTGTTTTAGATCTTGGCGCATCATGATTTGCGGGAGATCTTGAGTCAGCCAATTAACAGGCGCCACAGGTATCGGCAAACATAAGCAAAAACATTCAAGGATGCCTAGCGACGTAATCACGCCATACTGACGATATTCGGGTTGCAGCTGCGGTAAGCGTATGCGGTACTTTCTGGCCGTCTGTAGCCAATCAGACTTCACATATGGCTCTCAGGACTACGGGGTATCTTCCATGCGGCCTAATACAGAAGGAAACGGGAAAATCTTCTTGGGTTCGATGGATTCGTCTCCACTGTTAGGTAGGGAACCTGCATCGGAGAAGCCGGGATGATAATGCCCCCTTCTGCTTACGAATTTACTATGAGGTCTGAAAAGCGAATCATCCCCGCTCTTTGAAAAAAGGTTCTATAAGCTCGCTGACTGAATGGAGACCTCAATCACCCGTCAAGCCTCATTATAGACTCTTTTGATCATAAAATTCCTTTAAGCGATTGCTTCAAACTACGCCCTCAACATGAGCCAACAACTCTCAAACAACGGAACAACCTCGTATGAGACATACACCGGATTCTGGATCAACTGGGACAAAAGTCCTACTTTTGGAGCAACAATTACACTCAATCGGCGAGACGGTGGATTGCTTATTGCTTTCTTGGCAATGTTTGTCACCGTCGTAGGCACAAGCTTTTGGAGAATTGCTTGCTTCATTTTTCACCAGATTTACAGCAGTATTGATCCCCAGGATGCGTTGTATCACCAACGCCAAGCTGTTCTTCGGAACTCTGCCAATGGAGCCAATGGACTCTCCGGTTTAGCCAATATAATATTCGCTTGGAGAAAAGTGCTTCCTCAAATCAACCCATTTAGACGGATTCTACCCCTTACTGGCTTCGCAATCGTTTGTGTCGCTGGATTTGGACTCGCCAGTACTTTCTCCTCTAGGATCTCTACTGCGATGGGCAATGACGTACTTATTCGCAGTCCGACTTGCGGTATTTTCTATCCCTCCAACGTCGATAGCTTCAGCGAACTACAGACCATTATCGATCCGTACAGAGCGCAAACAACGAACTCATACGCAAATTATGCACAGAGCTGTAGACCAAAAACATCTATGAATACCTGCAATTCGTTCATTAAGAGGCGACTTCCAACAAATATCGACCGGAACGGGAGTTGCCCTTTTCAAAAAGATATTTGCAGGTTTGAGTACGGTAATATCGTTCTCGATACTGGCTTGCTAGATAGTCATTTCGACTTTGGTATCAATGCCCCTCCTAAGGAACGAGTCCAATACCGACGAGTTTCAAGTTGCGCTCCTATTAAGACCGATGGATACCAAGAGCCATACAGTGACCCTAAAACACAAAGCAACTACACACGATACTTTTACGGACAGAATGGACAAGAAAACTTTACGTATCAATACCCTGATACCGGACGTATACCTAAAGACGCAACTCTTTCATCATACGGTGGTGACAAAGACTATACGATCAGGTATTTATAAGTTCTCTTTATTCAAAAATCCACTGAAGGAGTCAAGAGACTAAAGGCGCTTTTAACAATCTTACAAGAGTTCAGCACCTACAATGAGATGGGTTTGTCGTCTTAGACCTAGCTAAAGTTATATACCCATAATAGTCAATAATTACTAACTGCTTATAGTATACTACGTACTCATTTCAACGACGAATCGGGTTCCTACAAGCCCGGTACAATCGTCCCTGTCCCAGAACTTCAATTGAACACCGATGTACGATTTGTTTTCTTATCAGCAAACAATATTATATATGCCAAAGAAGTAGACGACCCGCTATTCTCGGCCCATAAAGGACGTCTAATGTACACCAGCAGCGACACTATAAAAGAAAAAAACACAACAATGTACTACAGTGACAGATCAGCATCTGTCCTCGCATGTTCGATTACGGATCAATACTGCAACCCGAACAGTGGACGGTGCACACCATTACGAAGCGCGGGTTGGCTTAACCTTACAGATGGTTTGTTCTGGGCAAACAAAAAACATGGCATTATCTTCAACTGGATAGCTTTAATAGTCTCTGGATCGAGTACTGTATTAACGGACGTTCCGCTGTCACTAGGGGAGAGCTCTCTAAATGCACGCACCAAGGTAACTACTGGCCAGTCAGGTCCCCTTCCTGACAACCAGTGGCAAATAGAGGTGGAGAATTGGCATGCTGCGTCACTTGTGGCTTTACAAGGTCAGATAGCCGATACCGCCAAAGGACTCTCCAATATGGATATAGAACCCTGGTGGTTGTCGCCGAGCAACAACGTCGAAAGAAATCTCTGCACAAGTCAGGTAAGTCTTCACGCTCCAAAAGCCTCATCTCTATCTCCGCTAACCTGTTGTTCCGCCTAGAAAATTCCAAACTCGGATTATTTCAATATCTCGGTATTCGGTCTTTGTTTTACCCTTATACTCGGAAGTATTATTATTGTTTTATCCTGGACAAAGGAGTCTATTGTGGGCTGCATTGGGAAGTGCCGCAACCTCGAGAGCCAAAAGTATTCCCTCCTCGAATGGAACATGAATGACACGTTCCAGCTACAGCGGCTCGCACACGAAGAGTTGGGAGTTGGGAGTTGGCAAGAATGTGCGAGTGATGTTCCCAGGACGCACGATGTAGAGAAGCTGGCGGTCTTGGACATTGAGGATCCAAACCATCCACGGCTGAAAGCACCGCCACTTGAGTCAGTGGAGGAACAACCGGACATTTACGAAATTTCGGACTCGGGATCTGGACGGAACTCTGGCAGACTACTCTCTCATGTACATTGAGTACTTTGATGGGAACGAATTCGGATGGAGGAAGTGGAGGGCTTTCGCGATGCGATAAATACGTAACAAAGTCGGTCCCTCTCGCTTCATTCTGCCCAGCTTATTGCACATTTTCGTGACGGTGTATATGCACACGGGTTATACGTGTATGAGGAAGGCCTCAGTGTCCGGTGCGAGAGCACATTGGGAGCAGAATGGGACAGCGGCTGCTGCGATTGCCCTGGGTCAGCAGATATGGTCACAGTGAGTTGAGAAGCCAAGCCGAATGCACAGAGGCAAACCGCAATCATGTACCTAGGTAACCATTCAGGGCTATAAAAGTTCACTACATACCGTCGTTCAAGCAGTGTGGCGATCCGATATATCACATCCAATTTAGTGATCCAGAATCTTTTGTATACATCCTATGAGGAGAAGCCCCACGGGGTATCGACTCTTATACTTTTCGTCGGGTGAAGAGGATTCGGTCGAGGCTTGCAAGAAAGATCCGCGTCCATGGGCACGTGTTGTCTCGTTTGGGAAAGCCTTCGACTAGCGCGGACTGCAACTTTGTTATGACACAACCCAAGTCCCCACCACTCTCACCCTCCTCTCTTCACCTTCGCCTCCCTCCGCCAAGCCACGTCCACACCCATCTGCTCCCCCAATACTTCGACGCCATGGCTCAGATTACCGGCAACGACACCGTCACCGACGCCTCTATCACTGCCATCAAGAGCAACAACGCCGACGCGATCAGCGACAACAACTCTACCACCGCCGCCATGGGTAACAGCGACAGCCTCATGACTGCCTTCGAGAGCTTTGAGTACACCAACCACATCATGTTCCACAAGCTCCTCAAGAGCCTCACGAATCACGGAGGCGTCAACGCCTGCAACGACGACACGGACAGTGATACCGACTCTACCATGGCCGTCAAGCGCGACAACCCTGACAGCGTCCAAGGCGACGTTGACAATTGCAGCTCTCAGCTCTGCTTTGACGATGACGAGCCTGCTGAGCTTTCCACTGTCTCTTTCTCCGACACCATCACCTTTCTTCTCGGTGAATTCGATGAGCGGCTTCACGACGTCAAGGCCTCCGTCTGTCACTTCACCATGTTGACCGTCAAGAACGTCGCAAACTGGTTCAGCAACGCCACGAAGCTCGAGTGGCTCTACTACAACGCGCTGCTGCTCTTCCTCACCTCCGCTGTGGGCCTGCAGCTCGCGATGACGGCGCCTTTCTTCAGTGTCACGGTCCCGCTCACAGTTCTCCTCGGCCAGGCGTTCATCGACAACTTAATCGACCCAGACGCCTCTGCCTCACTCGCTGTCGCGATCCCACTCGACGACATCCTCATCCGCTACATGCGCCTTTGGTCCAAGTACCTTTTCTCGCTCCTCGTCACTGCGGACATCTACCAGCAGGTCTTCCGCGGAGCTACCGGCACTGAGACCTCGATGCGCAAGTGGATCGGCTACTTCAAGCCGTTCCTCGTCACCAAGATCCCCTTCTTCATGGGCCCAAGGATGGGCTACTGCCTCTTGACCAAGCTCTTCGAGGTTTTCTTGCTCTCGGCGTCGCTCTTGGTCGTGCTGCTTCAGGCGGGCCTTGATGTGGTGCGCGCGATGCGTTCGGGTTGGCACGGTCGCTGGCACTCTCGCGCTTTGGTCAATCTTGCGCTTCTGCTGGTTGTTCTGCTTACGTTCGATATGATGGAAATACTTCTTGACGCCTTGGATCTTCTGGAGATTGTCTGGGAGGCGCTGGTCCTTGGGTTCGACTGAGGAAATCCGATGTTCACAGGCGCATGACTTGACCTTGACTGGACACGAGTGCGAGACGGACAAGGTTCAAGGTTGGAAACGGCTTGGAGGAAGATAGGTGCCTGGGTGATACGGCCGTTGGATGGACAAGATTGATGACGTGCCGGAAGATTCTCCCGTCAATGGTTTGATTTGCTTTGGATGGAAACAGTTGTGAGTTGGATGTGGACAGAGCTTTTGGCAAGGCCGTGAGGGCTGGATCACTGGACACGATTGAAGCGGGAGCCAGTAGTAGATCCAGAACACAGTTCAAAAATGAATCAGATTGCTGTTTGAAAGTGTTTTCGCCGGTGATACGCCTACTCTCTCTTGCAGAGATTGGAGGTTGTGGGAATAGTGAACCTCAACTATTGTATATTAGTGTCAAGCTGCGCCGCAAAACGTCCCAAAAGCAGCCTCACCCGCCATAGGGCGTAAGCACACGGCGCAGTTGCATCCATGTAGCGATCAGCATGCAGGATGACGCCATGTTCAGCGCTAAAGCAGGTATACCACACCGAGCAAGCATCTTAGCATCAACAGCCAGCCTTACATACCGACACACCCCCAAAATGCGGGGAGTCCCACTTCGCGAGTCCGCGCAACCATCCCAGCACTCAGGACCCAGACAGAAACCCCAGGACACCGAAGAAAATGGCCAGCGATTCCGACTCTTCCCCGATTCAAATCGTCGTGGACGGCAAGGGCACAGACTGGGACACAGCCATCTACACGTCCAACGACCCCGTCCACGGCCACGTCCTCATCGACACGCGCCTCAAGCCATCCAGCGTGACAATCTGCTTCAGCGGCAAAGCCATCTCGCAAGTCCAGGACATATACGGGCTTGTAAACACAGCCGAGAGCGTGCTCTTCTCATACGAAACGACGCTCTTATCTAGCAGCGAGTCCGACATCCCTGCTTCAGAAAGCAGCAGCAGCCCCTTCGCCACCTTCCCCTTCGAGTTCCGCTTCCCGTCTTCGGTCCAAAGCGACGGCCGCAACCTAAAGGACAATCCAATCTTTGCACGCGAACCGGGCCACCCGCTTCCCCCGTCCATGGGCGCCTCGCACTTCCCCTCGTCCGGGAACGCCGCTTACAACGCCCCGACCTTGGGCCCGTCCGTCTACGCCCTCAAGCAGGTCGTCAACTACGCGCTCGAGGCCGAGCTCCGCAGCACCAAGTCCTTCAAACTCCTCAGCGGCACCAAGAAAACCACCACCTACATCCGATACCTGCCATCGTGCGCCTCGCCCTCCCACGCCATCCTCAACCGGCGCACCGTAACCATGACGCGCCAATCCCGGCGCCTCGACCCCACCCACGCCGGCACGCACAGCCTCCGCGCCAAGCTCAAGGACATCATACCCAGCGCCTCCGCCCCCACCGCCACCTTCGCCCTCCTCACCACCACCCCCGCCACCCTCCGCGCCAACCACCCCCTCGCCGCAACCCTGCGCCTCGAGCACAAAGCCCGCGCCCCGGGTCTCCCTGGCCCGCCTACCCTGCGCCTCCGCGGCTTCCGCGTCCTGCTCAAAGCGCTCACGCACGCGCGCGTCCCGTACGATGGCACGACGCAGCCATTTAGCGACGAGCTCGTGGCGTCAGACGCGTGCGGGATTCCGCTTGCGGTGCGGCGGTGGGGCGGGGTGGGCGAGGAGGAGGGGGTGTTGCTGCGCGAGGGGGAGGAGGTGCAGCTGGCGTCGCTGGCGGAAGATGGGCGGTTGGAAGTTGGCGCAGAGGTCGCGCCGAGCTTCAAGACGTATGGGCTTGCGAGGGAGTATGAGCTTGTTGTCAGGCTGTGGGTCGAGTGCGCCGGGAAGGTGTATGATGTCGAGGCGTCCAAGTTTGGGGTTGAGGTACTTTCGCTGGTTGGTGGAAGGGGTAGGGAGGCAAGGGAGGGCAGGGTGGGAGAGGGTGGTGTACCTGGTAAGCACGTGCCGGCAAGAGACGACTCGCCCTCTGCTGCCGTCTTGCAGTGGAACGACGATGACGACGACGATAATCCGCCTCCGCTATACGAGGATATTGTGAACGCTGACCACCACGCGGACGGAGGCAAGGCGTGAATTGCTTGGGCGGCTGGCTGGGAGAGCGAGCAGGTGTGCATGGGGACGGGATGGTGCTTGCGGGGCGGGTCGGGTCGAGGGATGCGTGCGGCTGGCTGGCCGATGTAGCAAGCAGAAGAAGCCAGCAAGGTGGACCCCAAAAAGCCTGGCAGACGGTAATGCCTGTACGGAGTAGAAGCAGAGACCCATTTAAGATACGCAAAGTCCGTGTATGCACGAAGACCTTTTCACCCGTACTCAAAACTCCGGCCGGGAGCTAGGCAAGGAGTACTCTGTAGGGACTGCTTGTATCATCTTCTGTCTCGCTAGACGGCGCATCTCGGTTCCCGGTGACGGGCGTTATATATACGACAGGCGGTTCAATGCTTCGCGTTGCTACAATGTAGGCATGGTAGCGCGTTCGTCCTGTGGTGTTTTGGCTTCTCTTTGTCCTGTCCCACTGGGCCATTTTTACCTTCTCCTGCTCTTTGTGTTTTGCATGCCATAACTTGGATTAACAAACCCGGACGACCTACTCTGTTGCTGCGCCTTCTGCAGACCTTCTCCGCGCGCCATTGGGCTATACCGCCGCGTCTTCGCTCAAGTTCGTGGGATCCCGAGCTGCTGCAGAGTTGCACGCGTCCTAGTTTGCTTGCTTGCCTGCCTGCCTACCTGCTAGTGTATCCTAATGACTCTTGTGCTGCCATTGTCCGAGCCTGCGGAAATGGGCTCGTCCTTCCTGGCTGTGTTGCTCACTCTCATCCGTCTGTCCGTGTATCCGTATCTTCCATCCACTTCATCAACTCCAGCCACTGTTATCCATGCTCCTGCTACGACCTGGCGAGCTCGTGTACCCTAAGCCCTCTTCCCTCTCTTCGCGACGTGCTGAGCCTCCTCAAGCCAAGCTCGTCGATGCGGCGGTATCCTGGCCCTAGATCGCTGCGCGTGCTTGGAGTGTGTGCACGGGTGCGTGGTGTAGCTTGGTTGATCGATCGGTCAGCCGGTTATATGGTCATCAAGTCGGCTGGCCAGGAGGCAGATGGATGTGGTGGTGTTGTTGCAGAGCTGCGTGCACCGACAATTTCTGTGGTTTGGTGTGGCGGTGCCAGGAGCGGCGGTGCGCGCTAAATGCGGGGTAGTGCGGGGTACGTACATCTGGTTTCACCAGTTTCTTCGGTCAACATCGCTTACCAAGTATCATTGTATATCTACTCTACTTGTTGACTATCAATCTCAGGACCAAATGACGTACTCCAAAGTTGTAGTTCATCCTCCCTTCCCATCTGCTTCAATAGTTCATTGAGCTTATCCTGAATATGCGCCAGCTCCTCAGTGCGTCCCCAAGCCATACCACCGCTGATTCTTGCCTGCTTTAACCACGCAACAGCCTGTTCCAAATTTCCAACGGACTCACAAATCTTTGCAATATCTTCCATGGTGTGCACAGCGCAAGTATCATGGTACCGCGGATCCGGGTTTGGAGCACCAAGGTGCTTCTGTCCCACAATGTCGAAGCACACGCCCAGCGCTGCGGGCCAGTCGCACTGGTCCATGTAGACGTGTTCGACCTGACGGGATAGCAAGCGTTCTTGCAATGAGCCTGGGCCCAGAAGCGCACGGATTGCACGAAGACCGTCGTTCGTTACGCGCAGTGCTTCGACGTAGTCGCCGCTGCGGCGGAGAAGAGCGCACAAACTCTTGGTCGCAAAGCGTGTCAGTTCGTGGATCGGGCCAAGTGTGGCTCGCAGTCGTTCAACGATGAAAGTGAAGGCGCGTAGTGTAAGGTCTTTGTCGCCATTGTCGTCTTTGAGCTTGTTGATGACGAGAGCAATGGGGTGATCGCGGGGAAGCTGCTTTCGTGCCAGCTCACTAAGGTACTGGAGCATGCTCTCTCGGACATAAGGGCAGGTGGTGGTGTTGATGGGAGATAACGTGCTCAGTAATTCAATCAGTAAAATAGCAGTGCCTTGGTTCAAGTCACTGCTTGCGTCGGCTGTAGAATTCTTGAGAAGCCGTAACCCTCGAGTCTGACTTTGGCTTGACCCGCGTACCGCTCCCTTGGTAACTTTCATGAAATAGATTGCACTTTCGGTATCTTTCCAAAAAGCCGCCCTTTGTATGGCTGGCGGAGGGTCAAAGTTTCCCTCGGTGTAAAAGGTCCGGATGTTGAAGAGAACAAACTCGAGGTTTGCGTTGAAATGCTGGCTTGTTGATATGTTGTTTGAGGAAGGGGTTTTGGAAAGGTAACGCCGTATTTGCTCTTCGCGTTCTTTTAGAGTTTTTCTACCTTCTTCGAAATATGGTATTGGGCTCGAAATGGTGTCTGAGCATTGTCTGCTCTCGACTAATTCATTGTTTGGCGACGGAGACCACTCTATAGAATCGCTGTTGAGTTTATCCGGGGGTTCCAACGTAACAGCATGTGCCTGGTGGATCGATGAAGTGAATTTCTCGAATTCATCTCTTAGTGAATCCATCTTGGCTTCGATGTTGGAAAATCTCTCAGTGGAAGTCGCAGTGCTTGACATAACAAGCGCATTTGTGCCCAAATGGAACTCCAGTCCAATAAACCCAAGCTCTCGAACTACCTCCAAGTTGAGCCTGTTCAGCTTTCCAAGCTTCTCTGATAACTCCCTCTCCACTTTCAGCGACAGGAGTGTCTTCCACAAGCGACGGACAGATTTGCCTTTGCTTTGATTGCTACTAATAAGGGGCGTCAACATGCTGTGGATGTCTTTCAAAGCCGGATAAAGCGCGCTTGCGCATCGCGACAGACGGTTCACTTGGGAAGTTTCCAGCTTCTGTAAAAGCTTGGATCCGGCGTTGCAACTATCACCCAGGCGAGATATCGAGTCGGCTACGTCGTTGAGGAGTGATGAAATTCGTTGCGGTATTCCCTTCATGTCTTTCATGAGCTTGATAGTAGCAAGAACTGCTTTCGCAGCAGTTAAAACAAGCTGCATTCCCGCCGCCAGTCCACCAAGGACGGATAGAGGATCAGCCATCGACGTGCGATTTCGGTGCGTTTATATGTGTAAGAATAAAGAGTAGAGTGGTGAAGTTTGTTTTGGAATGCCTTGTTTTATGTAACTCAGTGGGTTATATCCTTGGTTTTGGGTCCTAAAGGTGGTCATAAGAAGAGAAGTCACCGAGGCTGGATTTCGTTAGTGAGATTCGTACTTATAAAGGATTGCTCACGCTTAAGGCTGATAAAGCTTTGTAACCGGTCTTCCGAAACATGTGATATTAGGTAGCAAACGCCCGATACTTTTAAAGCACCCGCCTTTCCTGAAAAGGTTGTAACAGAAAAAACGTAACGAAACTCACTATTTATTGTTACCTTCTCCTTTTGTTAACAAAAGGAAATAGTACTGTGTCAAGTTAGCTGGCGCTGGCACGTGACTGCAGCACTCTATGCGGCTTGTTGCTTGCTTTTTGTGGCTCGTGTACCTTTGTCAGCACTGCCGACGCGCGCGGTAGTTTAATAACTTAATTAACTTTACTTCATATATTGAGTAAAGGTATGATAAATGCCTAGGTTTGAATATCTTAGCGTGTAATAGATATTATGCGAATACGTGTAGATAGTGTAGGCAGACAACGTGCACCTGCAGAAGGAGAAATGCAAAGACGAGTTGAATGTGATCAGTCAGCTTTGTATCTGACCCCCGCAAATATATATACGACCAGATAATATGCCGCAGGTCGTGAAACATTGGACAACATTATTAGTACAGCCTTAGTCGCTTTGACTTTCATTGGCTCCCCTTGACCACGTCATGGTTGCCAGACCTCTCTTCGTCGAGATAGTATAGAACTTTGTAGTCTTCGTCCTCTTCATCGCTAGTAGCATCATTGGGCTCATGGTCTTCTTCAACCTCCTCATCGCCAGAATCGTCGTAGTCTCTATGACTACCGCTTTCAACGCTGCCACTGTTGTGGCTGTTATCGATAAGTTCGGCGATGTCATGGTTATTACTTTTGTTGAAAGAATAGTCGCACTCATTATCGGATCCAGTCGCGTGCTGTGAATGCTGAAAATGACCATTGCCGCTTACGAGCAGAACTAGACTGAGAAGTCGCAATTCTAAATGAGCGTAACCGTAGTCCTTTCTCCTTGCAAAAACCAATTTTCATCTTCTACCATGAAAACACCGAGACGCCGGTAGTGTGAATCTGAGCATTTCTCCACCAACAGACCTTCTTCCTCAGATATGCAGAGACACCATAGTGAGAGTGCGTTCTCAGTTTCCAGATCGAAAAGTCCAGTGGCAACATGTGCAGAGGCGTCGCTTCCTTGTTCGGCGTCGTTTAAAAGTATTGCATGCTGGTTTAGCCTTGCGCGAGAGTATTGCCATTTAGGCTTTTTTGGAAGAGCTGCCACCGTTTTCTTCGAGCGACAGACCTGTCTGATGTACCCGTAGATTTCTAGTCGGCAAATTTGGGTAGGTTTCTCAATAAACTTAGGACCCCACTCGTCAAGACTCCAGACTCCGTTGTCTCTGTTTGCAGGCCTGCATCGAAGTGATCGATTTTCCTCGCGTGTGTTGTTGTTGACCTTTTTTGGGGCTTGGCTGGTTGAGCCGATGAGCGCAAGCCAAGACCATGAAGGCGCTCTGGTAATTGGATTCCCTTTGTCTGAACCTTTGACTCCGATAGGCCTCCGCAGAGATCTGTTAGGGTCCTGAAAACCAAGAAGCCGGGCACTTCTCCAGAGTAACCCTCGCACCATGTCTCTTTCCCACAAACCGGCAAGGTATCTGCAGTTCAACGCTCCGTGGAATCTTTGCGCAATACCAGAGACCGTTGCAAAGTTGTCCAAGGGATCATATACATCCCGAAGTGAGTACTGGCCAGCAAGCTCATACCATCGGTCGAGAATGTCGCTTAGGCCAAACCTTTCTGTGGCCGAAACATTAGTAAAAAGGTCATAACGACCTCCTTCTCCCCATTTATAATGGTAATACGCTCCGTTTTCGAATTGGCTGTGTTCTCGGCATTTGAAGCTCAGCTGCTCCTTCCCAAATATCATCATGCGTCTGCTTAGAACAGACTCTTGAAAGCACCAAGCGCGATCGTTTACCGGTCCAATATCAGGAAGTCTTGATAATCCAACGTGACAGTAGGGTGTTTCTTCGGTTTCAACCATGGGGTGGCTGTAGGGCATTGGAACAGAAGGAATATCAGGCTCCGAAACAAGATTTAGGAACCCCTTTTGGCTGTGGTCGCTTATTCCAGTAACAATGGTGAGCTCAGCGTTGGAGTACACCTGTGCGACTTTCCTCGACTCTTCGGCCCAATCTTCTTTATTATTTTGGATAATGCACAATGCATCAATCCAGATGTATTGGTATTTGAACTCGCGAGCGATTTGGAGAGCCTCTCGGTGTGTAAGACTCATGTCGTCATTTTCAGGAATATCTTTTTGGTATGCCTTCAAAGTATCATTTGTGAGCATCACTTTATGACGGGCGCCATTCCCCCAAGAGTAGGACAGTGCAACGTAGCGGCCAGGTTTGCCATCCGCAAGGAACAATCTTGGCTTTTGATTGCCTGAAGGGTTTTCGCCTAGATCTATTAGACGGGTGGGCATAACCATCGGATTGGTACCACCGCAGCCGGGATGACTCCTCCTACAGGTGTCCAGCCAACTCTGAAGCAAGGGCACGCGTAGCTCTGGATTCTGCCTCTTGGTGATATATCGTCCACGTAGGTATCGGGCTGCTACGGAGTGATCTACAAATAAATCAGTCGACTGGAACTACCAGCGCCAAGTCGAATTTTGATTCTAAATATTTTTAAAGACATACCAGGTTTCGCGAAAACAGAAACATCACCATAAACGCGAGATCCTTCTGTTGGTTCACCAGAAGATACTACAACATGGCTCTCTTTTCCCTGTCGCATAGCCCTTGAGTTTGTGGTAGAATGCAAATCTGAGAAGAAGCCCTGGAGAAAAATTGTAGTGTCTCGGGAACCTTCGGGGTCTTCAGGACGGCCATCAAGGTATTTCTGAATCTCGGATCTGTTGCAAGAGCGTTGGAGGCATGTCCAGAAAAGCTTGCACATGCCACAGGACGTTGATTCTGCACATAGCTTTAGCTCTGATAGGTCGCGATGGTGCTCGTGTGAGATGTTTCGAAGTTTCTCGACGTTCACGTCTTTGCAGTGGTCGCAAAGTGTCTCCATTTTGTGTTGGTAGCAGGAAATGCTTGAGGAGACGTGGCGGAAAGGAAAGTAGAAAGACGAGGTGGGGGTAGAGAGAGGTTTATTGAAGTACGTAAGGTAGCAGGCTGATGATAAGAAATGTGATGCTTTAAGTATGACTTACTACCCCGCAAGGCTTGTCAAATAAGCAACAAGAACGAGCCACCATTTGGCAACTTGTTTGTAGAGATAAACATGCCAAGTTATCATTGTTTCCAGTCGTGTAAATACCCGTCTACGGATAAGGTCGGATGCATATGAGAATGTAGGACGATTTGATAGTAATTCAGGATATAAGCGCATCGGAAAGGAGTGAGGACGCACAGTGCTGATGCACATTCCTGCTTATGGCACTGCATCAGGAGATCATCATACTAGGGTAACCCTGTCCACTACGACTTCCAGGCTACAGGCCGTACGGCGAGTCGGCCTATGTGGCATCGTCCGTGGGGATCAGCGGCTCCTTGTGGGTGGATTTTACCAGAGAACTTGGTTGCTCGGGCCGCTGGTGGCGTGCTCGCTCATCATGTCCACCAATATTCGTCGACCACTAAGCTTTTGATGTAGCCCACCTACCATTGCTTCAATCACGTCACGAGCCTCTACCATCTTACGCCTCAATTATCTCCTGCATACGCATCTGTGCACGGCCGGGCTAGGCAGCCTCCTCGGTGGCGGGGAGCCGTCGTCGAGGGCATAGGCACCGGAGCCGCTTAGGGAACCGCACGCCGTCAATCGGTTGCATGCTTGTGCATGTCGTGGTCCTTTCGCTCGTGAGGTCGCTTGAGTGATACTCCGGTGGGTCGGTCGGGCGGGCAAGTTATTGAGTGATAACTATGGTGCAGTTGCGTTAGTTATTGGTGGAAGTGAGTTGGGTGTGGCGGTGCGAAGTTCTGTGAGACTTGCGTGTGGCAGTGCGCTAAGTGCGGGGTAGTGCGGGGTAATTTGCTCGGCAACAACTTGACAACACCAGACAAACAATCTCTGCACGACCGGTCCAGCACGCCACGCTGCAGCCTTGCACGCCTTCGCTCCTGCTTTGTACTGACATTGTCTTCAGTTGCTAGATTTGGCCCAGCTCACGCCGCCCTTCTGCTCCGATCCTGCGCGCCGACTGTTTCCTCGCTCGAGCGAGCTCTTTCCTCCCACGCCTCTCGAGCTGCCACTGCGGGTCCACACATCACACGCATTCTCGATCCAGACCAAGCCCGACAGCTCACGCATCTCTCGCTGCTCTATCAATCGCTCGCGAATCAAGTCGCTTGTCGCGCCATCGGTCGACGGAATGCCGGCCGTGACGCCGAGGACCGTCGCCAGAGTATGCGACACGCGCGCACGACGAACAGACACACACAGAGATACGCAAGCACACAAGCGCAATGGGTGGCAGGTGGGGGATGAGGGAGCGAGATACTGTTCAAATGCTCGCGCATACATACGCTTTGGTGTTGGGAGATGCGAGATGCCGTCGCAGCTGAGGTTCAAGTTTGAATACACAGAGATAGACACAAAGAGATAGGTAAAGACTGAGAGTCGTGATGACGCGAGTAGTTCAAGCTCGCCGAAAAGTAAGGCCTGTGAATGAATGTGAAGTGTGAACCTCGCTTGCGGAGACCATTGGCATTCAAAAAACCCCGGGCCACGATGTCGCAGCACGAGTGGGATTAACTAATATTTAGTCGGGAACAACAACGCCAACCCTGCCGCACAATTAACTCAAGTCCATTGGGGAAACATCGGCTCGAACCCGCGTCGCAGTCTTCAGTGCCTAATCTCGCCCTCCGACGAACCATCAACCGTCAACCTACACTCGCTTGCGCAGTTGCGAACCGTCATGTCGTTCTTTTTCAATAACGGTCTCATTCGGCAACACAAACATGACACCGATGAACTAGCTTCCTGGCTGGCAATCACAGCCAAGGCCTGTGGACATCCCAAGCTTGCCATCGCTAGCTCTGGAGACCCGAAACGCGATTGCACCATAGCACTCAAGGACTTCACCGAATTGGCCGAGTACATTTGCAACGCTGACAACCCGGTGGTACCCCGTCGCATTATGGATGCGCTCACCCGCATGATCTCCGTTCGCAAGCGTATTTCTCACCGGGTGTCTGCTATCTCTCGGGACCTCCCTTACAATGCTGAAGCTGTAAGCCGCTACCTGTCTTTCATCAAAACTCTTGAAGGTCTCAAGGAAATCCTTAGCCTTCGCAAATCCGTCGAGGAGCTTTCGACCTCTTTCGCTGGTCTGCATGTCGAGGAGCCATCCACATCGTCCTTTCAGGTCCCAGCAGCGCCTACACCACCGAGTGAAAACGAACCAAAATATTGCGCCGAATTACAAAGTGGGATTGAAGAGGCTTTCCTGGCCCTGTGCCTGCTGCTCAAGGAATACCGGGAGCTCCGGGATGTCATAGCCAACACGTGGACTCTGTACAAGGAGGGTAATTGCAGTTTGATTACGGCATCTATTACAACCGACACAGCGCTTAAAACAGCTCGGGCCCTCGAAAATGACGCCAAGGACCTTTTTGACAAACACGGGGGGTTCGAGCAAATGCTTCAGATTCTCTATTGTGATTGGTGCGCAAGCTGCAAGCAGTCCCCAGATTTCCAAGAGCAGCCGATGGATGCCATGAACTTCAACATGTACGATGTGTCTGATAAATTCTTCTACCCGACCTTTGTACAGTTAAAAAACTTCTGCTTAATGGTCAACCTCCAGCTCGACGCAAAGCAGCTTCCTGTATTCAAGCCCGGTTTCATTGTCGGATACAAACCATACGACCCATCGAGGGATCGGAGCAAATTGAGTTCCCGAGAGAAGTACCAACAAGACGAGATACTTATGATGGAGATTTTCGCCGAATTTGCTCTTATTTGCAAGACCACAGACACTCTCTCCGCCCAGGACGAACTCACTCTAGCATTGCGTATGCTCTTCAAAAACAAAAGGATGACCCTCATGGTGTTGTTCGCGACGCAGGTTTTTTTTGACACACACCACATTCTCAAACAGGACGCATCGAAAGGATTTTGGGACCTACAGCGTATCGCCCGGCAGATTGACTCTTCGCTCCAAGAAAATTTCGAGTTTCACAAGTCCTTATCCTTGAAGAATGAAAGCTGGCCGCCACGTTCTGACCTGCTGCTTGAAGGTATCCGCTCTCGCATCAACCACTGGGTAAAGTCAGACAAGCTTCAGAAGATGGCCTGGAAGTCGGGCCGGGCGCCTGGCAGCGCGTTCGTGTGGTTGAAGGGCCACCCTGCGTTTTGTGGTCTTATGACGTTCAGTATCCAGGCCATGTTCCAAGTATGCGGTGTGGTTTTTGCTAATGCCTGGGGATCCATCATGTCGGCCGCACATATCTACAACGCAGCGCGCCAAGAAAGTGTTTTGACGAGGGTTTGGAACGACATGGAAATACTGTTCAGGTTGCAGAATCGGGACGAGATGCTGGGCGGCACACCAAAGAGCCGTGATGAATACTTGAAGCAATTCTACCTCCACATGGGCTACTCGGCAACGCCGGCAGCCTTACGGGACACAAGCAATACAGACAGACAGTCACCGAAGATGCCGCTGCGCATGTTGCATGAGCAAACACCCATGAGCTGGTTGTTCGAGCATCGCTACTGCCGCGGCCTCGGAACTTCTACGCTGTTGAAAGACCACTGCGCGCTGATCATCATGCGCAGCAAATGGAACATCGACGAAGCCACGACCTCGTCCTTCTTCGACATGCAGTTCTTCTTCGCCCAGCCCGCCGCCGTGAAGCAGTTGATCTACGACCAAACCGTCTACAAGCAATCCAAGCCGCTAAGGTACGCCCTGCTCGAACACCTCCGCACTGCCCTCCAAAACGAAATGCCCGCCCTCTGTTTCGACTACTTCGCGCTGCACCGCGTCAGCTGGACTCTCCTCCAGCGCATCAACTCCGCCTGCGCCCCGCAGCTGCGCGACCTCTACGGCCAGGACTACCTGACCGACCAGAGAACGGTCGGCGACTTCAAGCTGCACCACGTCAACTCTACAACGCTGCAGCACATCAACACTGCCCGCACAACGCGACCCCAGGACCCGGACCTGCTGCCTCACCAACGCACCGACGACTGGAAGCACAACTGGAGGGAGTCGCTGCCTCTGACCGACGTGCGCGGCACCACTCATGGCAGGGTCGTCGACAACGAGGTTCAGCTGCCGGACTTGGTCGGATTCATCTTTGCTGCGGCGGCGGGGAACAAGGAGTTCGCGGGCCCGTGGCTGAGGGAGCGTCGTCCTGGAACTGCTCGAACTGCTGGTGATGGTTTTGCGCGCGAACAGCGCGAGAGGACGGCGCGTGAGTTGCTGGAGAGGGCGGTGCAGGAGGTGGGGTTTTTGACGAGGAGGCCTAGGGGGGCGATTATGGCGAGGGTGTTGTGGAAGGTGTATGGTATTGCGGTGGTGACGGTGCGGGATATAGATCAGGGTGATGGGATGGTGGTGAGTTGATGGGTTGATGAGTGGGCAGGTCAAATGGGTGCTGGAGGGTGATTTTCAGTGCGGCTTGCTGGAATGGGGGACGGGAAGCAAGCTGTGATGTTGTGAAGAATACCAGCGTCCATAGATGAGAGAGCCTTATGGTCATGGCAACACTTCTCGTCGCGGCCTCCCAACCATTCACTGCAAAGCGCGAACAATCTCAGATGACACTACATTACACGCCCCAACCTATCACGGCCACAGCACTTCACTGCATCCACGTCCCGAAACAAAGCAACCCAGAATCCTGCACAAAGCAACCAGCCACTATCCGCTTTCACACGCCACTCCTTCCCACACCAAACCCTTTCACTCCGCCCGTTATTTCTCTTTTCTCAGCTTCTCCACTGCGCCTTGCCCGCCATGCGCCGAAGTTTCAGGCCTGCCAAGCTGCTCGCTTCGCTCCGCCTTCCCGTTCTGTTTGGGTGTTGGAAGGCTTCGGCGGTGGCTCAGATGGTGGCCCTGGGATGTGCTTCCTGCCCGCAACGTCCTGAGGAGGAGCAGAAACTGGGTTGATGCTTTGCTGTGCGGTGCCGTGGTGGATTTGTGTCGGATATGGAGGCCAGGCCGATACGAGAGTGTGCTGCTTTGGATGGAAGAAGTTTCGACTTTGAGGAGTGGTAAATCAGAAGTGATGTCGTGAGCTGAAGATCGAGTGTGCGTGCGCCAATTGAAAAGATTTGAGGATGACAAGAAATTAATCGTAGTATGCCGGGATGTGAGGGTGTTCGATTGTGCGACGTGAGTTGAGTAGGCAGCTGGTGTGAGTTGAAATGTCCCTTCGTGAAGTGTGCTCGAGCAGTCAAAGACAAAAGGACAGTGATGAGCCGTAGTGTGACCAGAAGTAAAACAGTGCCGAGCATTCTGGAATTCCGGTGTTCCTTGCACCTAATCCGCCCTCAAGAACTTCAGCTCTCCATCCTCTGCACGCTCGAATCTCGCGCGCATGCTCTTTGCTCTTTTGATCAGACTCTGCGGTGTCTCCTGGTGTTCCGTGTCTTTCGTAGCATCGAGCTCCTCTTTGTTCCAGCCTTCGAGTCCGTGGAAGAGCAGCGCTATGAGAGATGATTTAAAGAGCGCGTTTCCGTTCTGGATGCTTTGGATGATCGTGGTGATGAGCAGCATTGTCGTGAGGAGAACGATGCAGATGGGGAAGGACAGCCAGGCCCAGCGGACGTGGATGTAGGTTTCTTGGGTGTAGGCATCGCCTTCCACGAAAGTAATGTTGAGGTTTCGTTCACTGCGGAGCATGCTACTGAGCGCATGTGCTATGTTCGTCGAGACCGTTCGCAAGTCCCTATAGGAAATGTACTGATACGCTAGTTTTCCGGAGTCGAAGAAAGTAAAGTCGTCGTGTGTTGCTGAGGTGTCTAGAAGTTTTTCGAGGTAGATTGCAACGGAACCCCAATCGTCACCAATAGGATATAGAGTGGACGATGGCTTCCAAGCGTCGGACAACGCTTTCAACTTGCTGTAGGCGCTGTCCTTTCTACCTACATAGGCGAGTTTCTCCGTAGAGGAGAGCTTTTCGGAGAGCTGTCCGTCTTGGAGTGTGAGGCTTTCGTAGCGGTTAAGACAGAATTCGATTTGACATAAAGTGATATCGGCAGTTATGTTACCATACATGACGCTGCTGCTGTTGAGGATTCGCGCTTCAATCATAGTAAGCATTTTTGGTACAAGTTCATATTCCACTTGTGTAGCTCGTATGGGGTATAGATCCCTACTGTCTATAAAATCAACATTTTTGATTTCAACTCCTGGATATTGACCATATGAACAGTCTGCGAATAGGTCAAGATTGCCCACTTTATGTGTCGAAAGGTAATCTTGTAGGGCCGTAAAATTGCCGAAAGATGGTGTATTAGGATCCGGGTAATAGTATTTAAACATAGACTGTGGTTTAGGTCGTTTGAACGTGTAGTTACACTCAAGCGAATCTGAAGCTGATACCGTGTAGTTCCTACAGCTTGAACACATATCGAGGGTGGTAAGGTTCGTCCAACGGCAGTCCAACGTTGGGCAGTTAATTTGTGGTTGCTCATAGACGGCGCTATCTGAGAACATAGTCGTCACGAGTTTGTGAAAAGCTGCCTTTTCTATCAACATCGTTAGTGAGTCAGTAAACATTATTGAGTTGGGGCGAAAACCATTTAGCACAATATCGTCTAACTCCTTATTTGGGGATATATAGATCCCACTCCAGTCCCTATAACTCCATCTCGGAAAGACCCCGGTGGCAATTGCTACTGATGATGTAGCATTGGCAAGAGGTGCATTGCGCGAAGGGTATTCAATAATTTGCTGGGCCGTTGGTTCAAAGGCGAGTGTGATAATCGTGACAAGCGCGCCTGCAGTAGCAATCACTGCTGTAGGCCTTACCTTCCAAAGGAATGTAAGGGAGCCCCAGGGGCCTCTGCTCGCATCGTCGAAGATTTGAAGGTGACTGAGGCTCCTAGCGGAGGAAGAAAAATGTGTCCATTTAAGCTGGCTGATGCATTCGGCGATTGGGACGAGGAGGGAGGATCTTGCAACCGTAGAAAGAATAGCGATGACTGAGTTTGGCTTAATCAGGAGCTTCCAATCCGCCAAAGCCTTGCCGTCTATTATGCCAAGTATGACCACGATGAGGCCTACACAAACGGCGCTGAGTGAAATGCTTGCGGTCTCCCACCACCAGCCCGAAAGTGTAGAATTTCTTTGACGGTGCTTTTTTCCAATGGAACCGAGCCAACTGGAGATAGTGAGGTTTGACAATCTGCCACCCGGCAATGGATCCTCTGTCGATTGTCGTTCGTACTCGCTTTCTTGGGCGGGAAGAACTCTCCGTTCGGCATCTTGGAGAGTTATCGAGCTCCGAGGGGAGGTATTCACGGATATTTGAGTGTACCCATCCGTGGTCCATTCTTGTCGTGATATACTGCCACAGCTGCTATCGGGGATTGGCATTTGATATTCCGAGATGCTGATACTTCTTGGTGTGAATGCTCGTGACGTATCTGCAGCACTGTAATTCTCCATAATGAGTTGAGAGGTGATGCAAACGAGATATATCAAAAAGAATGAAATTATCGGAAAGAAAAGTCAGTACGTAGAGCCACTCGCCTTTTATCAGACAACAAGATCCCCACTCGGCCCAGCTGCAGGTGTTACTTTTTTAGAAGTCTGACTGATAGCATGCGTCAAAAATGCATGCAGCTCAGCCGCAGTGACGCAAGATGCATGGCTGCGACCCGCAAGATGCCGGGGGTTACGCGAGTGGGTGGGGGTTTTGAAAAGGATTGGTTCGACTCAGTGCCGTACCACCACCTTGTGGATGTTGACATGTTCACAATTACGAATAGGATATGTAAGGTGCGGACTCTGCAACCTAATCGTGATGCTGTAAAGTCATTGAAGGTGGTGAGTCGTGCGGAGAGAGATGGTGGAGAGGAGCTGGAGGGTGGGGGCTTGTGGGTCTTCCGCATTGCTGGTTGATCTCTCCCAACTTCGGTGACAGCTACCTATGCGAGAACGCTAGCTGATTAGCAGTGAATGTCGCGAAATTACCGCATTGCCGTTATTGCCCTTTTGCCGCATTGTGTTCCGCTCTGCATACGTTCGGGGGAGATGGTATTCGAAGAGGCAATCCGGCACAGGAAGGGCTTGACCAGCCAAATGAACAAAGATAGGGTGGAACCTCGAAGATGTTTTGGCAGCATTCGCGCACCTTACCAGCGAGCCATCAAAGACATAGGGACCTTTTGCAATTCTTGCAATGTGTCTCCGTTACCTAGTAGCAGACTACAAGCCAAAAACATTCAACTCTAGGTATATTCTTATGTGTTAGGTTGTGCAGTCGTTGATTTCTAGAGATCTTACTTTGCAGCTCGTTGTGATGAGCAGCCAGAGCAGGTCTTAGCTTGGGTGTTCGCCATGGCCCTTTTTCAACATCGTTGTCTCATCGCTTCCCTGTTGCGACCTGCTTTGTTCAGTCGGCGAGGTCTTTCATCTCCAGGCTACCTCACAAATAATTAAATCTCAGTTAGCCATGGCCACAAATCGAACATCACCTTAAGCTTTCCTAGATTTCCAAGTGCAGGAAGGTAACCGGAGAGAAGCTATACAACCGTGCCGCGTACTCCGGCACCATCGATCAGACCAAACCACTTTCGCCAGATTACTACCGGGCCCATAGGCAGAAATTTACTACCCAGGTCGTCTCTTTTACCTACTCGTTGCGTATTCCCTCCGCCGCGATAGGCAACGCGTCGGTATCGTCCTCCTCCGCCTAAAGACCTACCGGGCCCTTATACCGTATACACCAGGACAAACCCTACTACCTAAGAATTTAGGTATATTTAGGTCGAGAAAGACAATTAGCGTAGAAGACTACGGTATCCGCCTTAGGTTTATACATATAATCGCTCGGGATAGTATATCGGTCGCGATATACCGGAGCTCCTCGTAGTCCTCGTAGTCCTCGTAGCTTCTCGTAGCTCGCCTCGTAGCTTACCTCGTAGCTTCTTCGCCTCGCAGCTTCTTCGCCTCGTAGCTCGCCTCGTAGCTTTTTCGCCTCGTAGCTCGCCTCGCAGCTTCTCCTTATAGCTTCTCCTCGCAGCCTCGCCTCGCAGCTTCCCATCGCAGCTTCCCCTCGCAGCCTCTCGTAGTTTCTTATCGCGGTACACCCTCGTAGCTTCTTATCTTACCTCCTTATAGCTCTCATAGTTCCTCGTAGCTCCTCGTAGCCCTCGTAGCCCTCTTAGTCCTCGTAGCCCTCGTAGTCCTCGTAGCTCCTCGCGGCTCCTCGCGGCTCCTCGCGGCTCCTCGTAGCTACGAGGAAGCTACGAGAACTACGAGGGCTACGAGGACTACCAGGGCTGTCCGAAGAAGCGTTACGGCTTCCGGGATTAGGCTTGGGATTCTTCTTGGGCGATGGCGTTGCGATGCTGATGGCGATGTTGGGATCTCGCGACAGGCTTGGCAAGTCGCGTTTCCCCGCACGGCCCCGCCCGTTTGCGACAGCCGGCGAAACGTTTCCATTCCCACGACGGACATCGCATCAACCATATCTTTGCTCAATGGGTTTCTAACTACCTGAAGGATAACACGTCCATCCCAGCAAGTCAGTGGCCAGTTCGCAAAGAAGCCACCTACCGCCCTACCACCAGGCCCACATCGCCCGCGCCCCGACTGCATCCCATTCCATCGACGTAAACCAGTCCCTCTTCCCGGAATCACTACATGGCACAACTCCAGATCCCACACAGAAGCGCCTGTTGGCACAGTCTCCTATCTGTCACGCCCGTCGCTCATTGCAGCAACAGCAGCAGTGTAGGCGACGCGTCAAGACGCGTCAGTGGCGTCCTTGATTCAGAGCTCACTTGACTCGAGTATGAAGCTCTGTGAATCTGCATGACTCGTGCCCGTCTTTGCTGTGGCGGCTGGTGGCCTGGCGGCCACACGACTGGACCGTAACAGGGAAATATTCAGCTTCAGGCTTGAAAGGAAGATCCAGGAGAGCTCTGTGCACGACGTGTTGAGGTGGGCTTTAAGATCTCTTCCGGTAGTGGTTGTCAAAGTCACCTTGACATCGCCCGGAGCGAGGCAAACGAAGCTTGCAACACGGACGCTGCTATACATTTCACTATGGTTTGTTCTTTTGGATTGTTTGCGGACCCCTCCTCTCCGTATTCAATCGCAAGGCCATAACTACGGCCTCCTAGATGTGTCCCAAATCTGACAACCTCTGACGCGTCCGGCCGCATGCTTTGGATATCGACAAAAGAATGGCAAATAATGTATACCTGCTGGTGCGGGTGTCAGTCATTTCGAACAGCCGAACGCACTTGGACCGTTTGGTTGATGGCACTTTCACACAAACTTGTCAAATGTGGCAACGGCTTCAAAGAAGACATTTGCATTGTAAAAACTATCCCCGCCGAGACGAAAGAAACAGGATCATCTACTGCATGCTTTGTTACTGATGTTTTCCTACTTGGAGTGGTAGGGAGAAGTACCTTCCAGGATTCCAAATCGGCTACCCCTCGCGCCTTTCCTGCTCCTGCTCTGTATAACGCCGCTGTAGAGGAAATTGGGACAACAAAATGGGAGACACCGGAGACAGTTGCAGAATTTGCGGTGTTTCATGACGCGGCACGTCAGTGTTGTGGAGGTTTTGAGACGACTCCAAGCTCTCGTTGCTTGCTCTCCCAGAAATTCTGCTTCTACGCGACTCGGGGTCGTCAATGCTGCTTGAGCCTCGCATGTTTCCTGCCTCTTCTTGGGGTATGCGATCGTAGAAACCTGAGGTCCAGGACCGTGGTGATGTAGGTTCGTTCGGAAGAATGCCGTGGTGGGAGAGCGATGGATCGCTTGTTTCCTCTCCATTGCTGAATTCACTCGAAGCATTTTCGCTAGGTGGTTTATTCCATTTTCGTTGAACCATGTTTGGGCCTACGTCGATGCCCCACCTCCACGTTATTGGATGCTCATGGTTGCTTCTATCCTGGATTGGCCACCATCCAAGCCCAGTTTTCTCTTTCCAGATGTCTGTCTTTTTGATTGATGAAATATTTTCCTCTTTCAGATGTCGAACCAGGGCACTGTTTGCTAGGAAAGAAAGTCGAGCTGCAATCGAATCGGGTGCTTTTGGAAGGATTGATCTGCTTGGAAAGCGGAACATAATCCAAAGGAGACAAAAAAGCACCGTTGTAAGAACTTCCAAAATTATCGTCGTTCTAAGATCCTGTTTGGTTCGTGTCTGGTGGTGCCGCATTGTCCCTGTCATGTTCTTCGTATTTGTTGCGTTTGCGATGTCCAGAGCAAAAGACCGCCGTTCAGTTAGTAATTCTCGGGTGACTGCTACATACATTTCCTCTGCAGCCTTGGCAAGATCGTTGACGTCGAGTAAGGCTGTGTGATTATTTAATTTGTACTCGGCGTATGCAGCCAGAAGTTCAAAGAAGTTTGAACTTGATGTAGTAGTAGGCCAGAGGGAGCTACTGTTTAGCATTGCAAGTAAATTTGCTCCCATACTGTTGGAAGTAGTGCTGCTTTTGGGAGCCATATACATTGGGAACCTCCCGGTGGTATTAACGCCCGTGATGTGTGTAATTGATTCACGATTATAGCTGACCGGGGTCCAAGGTAGACTTGTAATATTTCCGCTAATATCCAGGCTTGTTGGCTGTTTAAACTTGACATTTACTTCGACGGTCGTAATATTTTCTTTGCAAGACAATCCGCGGAGAGTAGGAACAGAAACGTTAAACGTGTCAGAATTGACGATAGTGTTGTTTTTGAATTCTGTAATCGCCTCGAACGGGCCCGATATACTGGAAAAATCCTCTAGAAACACAACAATTGTTGAGGTGGTACCAAATACGTCCATATGGCAAGATCCATAGTAGGATGGTGGTGCTCCTTTGGAGCACTGTGATGAGAAAAAAAACTCATTCTCTAAGAACGTGTTGATGCCATGAGATATTTGGTTCGCTTCGGTGATGTTCAAGGTTGATAAGCAATGACTACTGCTCCAACGAAAGTCGAAAGAAATTGTATCGTTACAATCGTTATTTCGAAAGGCAAAAACCTCAAACTCGTGGGGCGAAATAGGTTCGCAAGCAACGTCAACAGCAAGGGCCGGTACTCTAGCCTCGATCTCATAGCCTGTTGTTTTATTGGATGCGGCAGCCGTCGTCGGGGACCACTCTGTGAGGTTACTGATCACCAAGTTGTCCAGAATTCCGGGCCTCTCTGCCACGTTGAGATCTGGTGTGATTGTCCATTCGGCGAGTTGTGATGCCCACTCCACGTATGGACGGTTATCAAAGTGATAATCAAGGAGCCATAAATTCTCAACTAGACTCGAGTCAAGCTGTAGAGCAACTAGTGCCGACGTTGTAGAGGTGCTATCATGAAAAAGACCTGCGGCGACCACTTTAATTAGTGGAAACAGGAGAGTGGCGAATGCGGTAGCGACTAATGCAAATCCAAACTTGGAACCTGCTTCCTTCGGGCTTTTAAATAGCATATAGAAACTCGGTGTATCTTGAAAGTTGGAACGAAGAGGGTCTTTTTTTGATGGTTGATGGAGGCTTCGGTACGGTAAGATGGATCGCATACCGCTATCGATTCCTGAGGATAAAGCACTTAGTAGAACTAAGATAGTAGTCGGAATATATCGGAAAAGGTTTGACGTGGTGGAGTTGACCTGGGAGAGACCGTGACGAGAGATGGATAGCTTCTGGAAAACGGCAAGAGTGGTAATTACAGCACAGAAAGCAAGGACGATAGCGCATTTTGCCCAAACACGAAGGGCAATAGGGCTCCAACCAGAATGTTTTAAGGAGCTATTGCTATCCAACTCTTCTTCGTAAGAACTTGTCGACGAACTGAAAGGCGTATTAACTTCGAGTATTAGTCCGTTTGCCGTGATATCGTTGCCTTTTTTCAATTTTCAGTACGTTCGGAATAATGAAACTGTTGAACAGTGCGAGAAAGCTGGACACTGCTGTCGCATTAAATTGAGTGAAACTGTCTGCTTAAATACACGACTTCCCTGGGTAGAAAGGTGACTATCGTTCTACTAATAGGAGAGAATAGTATGATGTTGAAAAAGTAAAGTGATGATAGGGTTCGTGCTAAGCGAGATAATATAGTTATGGTGGTGATAGTTGACACACCCCCTTTAGGATGAGTAGTCTGGTGATTATTCTGATAAACGAAATTGAAGTAACTGTACTTGGGAATTAAACTTTAAAAGGAGGGACTGAGTGTTGGTAATTTAGGAGGCTAAGAGCGGTTGGCTGGTAGTTCCTTAATATTTTTTAATAAGAGATTTGATGTTTCTAAGGTTTAGCTAAGAAATGAAGTGTTTAAATCTCTAAGGAGGAAGAGGTTTAGTAAGTCCGTCTGCTATTATTTTAGCTAAGGGAGTCTATCTGAGTCTGATATATCCTTGCTAGATTTCTTATCTTAGCTAATGTCTGTAAATGTCTATATGGCGTAGCTTAGTGATAAGCTTGATGGATGATTCGCTGAGAAGTCTAATAGTAGTAGTATTATTATACTATATATGAACGAGATGTTCTGGACTGAACTAGATTTCTTAGAAAAATCTTTCCTACTAAAGAAGTTCCTTCGCTGTATCTAAGAGAGTAAGGAATTCCGCTTCTATGCTAGAAGTGGTAATCGTTCTTTGCTTGTTTGCTTTCTAGTGAATTGGTCCTAAGAAGAGCTGGAAAAGAAAGCCTTGATGTAATCTCCTTGTTTCTATGTCTAAGGCGTAAGAAGCGTTACTAGAGGTAAGGAAGATATTCTGTTGGATATTATAGATTCCTGAGTATTCTAGTGTAAGGTATTTAGTATCGGATAAATACTGAATAACTCTAGTTGCTGCTTGAGAGTGAAGTGGTGACGGGTTTCTAAGGAATCCTAAGAGCTTTAAAGTTATATATGTAATATCTGGCCTGGTGAATGTTGCTGCGTAGTTGATTGATCTAACCTTCTATTGATATGTATAAATTTCCTGGGTAGACGCTTGCTCTATTGATGGAATAAGCTCCTCTATTTGAATTGGAGTTAGTAGTGGCTTGTGATTATCTAGTATATTGAATTTTGTGGTAATCTTGCTGATATAGGAATCTTAATAGAGTTAGAGTTTCCTTTCTTCTCTGTTGCGAATAATTCTGATTGTAAGAAACTATTCTATTTCTTCTATATATCTGAGTTTAAATGTTTGTATAAGTTTCTGCTGAAGTTCTTCTATTTTGCTAGATGATTCTTTGTAAAAAATGACTGTAATGTTATCTATAAAGAAGAAGAGAATTAAGTATTAGTTAGTAAAGAGGTAGTTAACTCCTAGAGTCTGTAGAAGACCGAGTTTTTTAAGTATACTGGCTAGGTAGTTATGCTAAAGTGTAGGTGATTGCTTTAGTCTATAAAGCGCTTTTAGTAGTTGAAGAACCTGAGATTGATCTTGTCTCTAGAATTCTAGAAGGAGGTTTATTCCTTCTAGAAGTTTATAGAATGTTTCTTTATTAATAGGGCTGTTGATAAATGTATTGACTGTATTAAATTGTCTAGATTCTAGGTTAAATGTAGCTATAATAGCTATGATTACTCTAAATGTTTTAGTAGCTAATGTTGTAGTATACGTATCTTGTTCTGTGGACTGAAGATCTCCTCTGATATAAAGGCGAGCCTTGTACTTAATAAGGTATCCTTCTGTGCTGAACTTGTACTTGAAGATCTATGTAAGAGGGATGACCTTCTTTTGCTAGTTCGCTGTATGCTCTCTTGGAACTAGTTTGAAAGTTTATTTCTTGAGAAGAGTCTAGAGTTCGAGTTTAACTGCTGCTTCGAATCCTTCTACCTCTAGGTGCTTAAGTATCTGCTGAAAGTTTAATAGTTTAGGTGGAAGATTATCTCTGTGATTCTTATTTAACTTGTTTAGTATAGATGTGGTACGTGCTGTAGTAAATGCTGTATGAAATGCGAGATGTTTTTCTTCTGGATCTTAAACGCTTTCTTGAAGTGCTGCTGTGTATGTATCTTTTCTTAGTTGTCTTCTGGTTCTTACTCCCTTAGGGAGTATATTCTCTTGAGAAATGCTGCCTGAAATCTGTGTTGCTCTTGGTACTCTATTTCCTGATGTAGCTCCTAGCTGAGCTAGAGTATTATATTAGACTGGTAGAAGTTTTCTAAGTCTTAATGGCTCTGTAGTAGTTTCCGATACGGTTTCTGTTTGTAGATCTGTGACTAACGGATCTAGGGTTAGGAGATGTATATACTATTCTTAATCCTTATCTATTGCTAAATTTTCCGCTCGAACCTGCGTGATTTGTGTATCTAGGATTTCCTGTTGCTCTAAGCGAGCTTCTTCTATTTCTGATTAGTCTAGCTAAGTGATCTGTTGTAGAATGTCTGGGGCTTCTTTTATTAAGATGCGTATGAGATCTAAGTCCTCTAGATAATAGAATTTATCTTTATTGAAAGTAATATCTCTAGTTCTAATAACTTTCTTTTAAGAGGGGATCTAGATGCGGAAAATATTGCTTAAGTTATAGCTAACTAAGTGTCTAATATAGGCGCGTTCTGTAAGCTTCTGTAACCTAGGAATATATTTAATAAGAGTAAATGCTTTATAGCTATATGTTCTTGTATATAATAGGTCTGGTTTTTCTCCCGTGATAAATTTAAAGGGAGTTTTCTAGTTGAGTTTCCTTTAAGGAGTTCTGTTATAGAGGTATCTAGCTGCCTTGATTGTTTCTAGCTATAGGTTGTGAGGTAGATTTATACTAATTCTTATATAGCGAGCTTTAGTAGTAAGGATGCCTCCTGATCTTTCTAAATATCCGTTCTGTTTAGGTATATCTAGAGCTAATGTTTCTAGGGTAATTCCTTAGTCTGCGAGCTACTGAGTAATTGCTATACTAATAGTTCTTTCTCTGTCTATTCTGAGGATTATAACTTCTTTATTAAAGCGTTTCTTGATTATAAGAATAGTGAATTTGATAAGGTTAGGTAATTAAAATTTCTATAGATATGTAAAGGTAAAGGTGAATCCGCTCTTTATATAAGCGAAATAGGAGATCTATTTATCGTGATTATATACTGTTCTAAGATTTATTAAATCGAGAGTAATTTTAAAGAATAGCTGGGATAAATTAAGTTCTTTTGCTAAGGATCTAGAAATTATTCGGTGTGCTTTTAAGATAGCGTAGGTTTTATATTCTGTAGTCGTTCCTGCTGCCTATTCTTATGTAACTTCTATACCTTTTATATTCTGAGTAAGGTGGTTAATTACTTCTAGACTAGTATAGCTAAGAGTCTAGTGCTATTTCTAAGCTGTATTCTTGCGAATGAAGAAGGCTGAATGCGTTTCTTATACTTAAGTTCCTTTAAGAAGAAAGTATCCTAAAGTAGGAATGACTTTGTAAAGGTGTTTGCCTTGTATCTAAAGCTCTATATGTTTAGTATTCTAGTAAACCCCTTTATTAAGAGCTGCTTGTAAAGAGATAAGATTGGTAAGATAGGATGGAATAAAGGCGACGTTTGTAAGAGTAATAATCCCTGTTCCTATATTGGTTTAAACCTTGATTTTAATAGTTCTCTATGCTTTAATAGGTGTTAGTTTATTTCCTGTATTAAGATTTTCTCCTGCTTTAGCTTTTCTTTATTCCTGGAAGCGTGTTGCTATAGTCTGGTTATAGATATGGATATTAGATCTAGAGTTAAGGATCTATAATTTACTAAGAGAATATTAGATTGAGAAAGAAGAATATTTGGTAATAAATATAGTAAGTTCCTTGTCTTTCTCTTCTATATCTCTTTCTTTGTTTACTTCTTAGATTTTTCTATTTTTCTCGAGAGACTTGTTGACTTACTCCTTGAAGCTTAGATTCTTAAGTTTCTTATTAACTTGCTGTTATTTATTGCGGTCTAGTTTGAATCCTAATTTTCGTGCTTCTTAGTTAAGATAGGGGTATTCTATAAACTAGTGTTTATCTCTATAGGTATATATAGGAGGAGAGGTAAGTACTTTCCTGCCTCGGAAGTTAGCTGAGAAGGCTAAATAAGATTTATAAGTTTTACCTTAGTTTAGTAGATCGCGCCTGATCTAGTTGCGGAAAAGTTCTATAATATCTAGAAGTATTAATAATCCTAGTTCCTTAAGGTCCTGTATAAGGGGGAATCCTAAGAAGTTAGAATTAATAGGTTCTGTAGTTTTGAGGAAGTTATAGATATAGTTACTATCTTATGCTTCTAGAATATTAAGAGCTCTACCTTCCTAATAGAAGGAGTTCTAATCCTTTAGCTATTATTTAATATCTTGGTTTCTAGGAGTTTTGTAAAGCTTTAAGTATGTTACTCTGAGTATAATTTTCCTATATTGATTAGTTAGTGTAAGATGCTTCTTAAGTATTATAAGAGTTTCTTTAGCCGTGCTGCTAATTCCTTTAAGATAAATATAGTTGCTACTAGAAACTATCTTTATTATAAGGAGGTAGATAGATTCTAAGGCCCTCTATTGTTTCTAGTAGTCTGTAAGTTCCTTAGAGTAGATGACTCTCTATATATTGAAGAGAGAGATATTGATTTGTATTAGATTTTCTGGAAGGTCTAGGCTGTTTGGTTTAGTAAGAAGTTCTGGTCTATCTTCTTCCTTTACGTCTAGATTAATAAATTCCTAGATTTGTTTAGACTAAGTAATTCCTAAGGTTATAATAATCTAAGTATCCTAGTCTAATAGCTTAGCGAGCCGTATAGGTAGCTCTTTAAAGAGCTCTTGATTACCTAATATAATTATAGGTGGGTTAGTAGATAGACTGTATAAATGCGATAATAAGGGATGTAAATAATAAGGTACTAAGACTATTATATAAGGGTAAACTAATTAAATAATGATATAATACTTCTTTAAAAGATATTAGAAGGTGTGTATTAACTACGGGACTATATAGCGCGTTGCCGGGCTTATAACTGTTAAATAGTGCGAGAAAGCTAGATACTGCTGTCGCATTAAATTGAGTGAAACTGTCTACTTAAATATACGACTTCCCTAGGTAGAAAGGTGACTATCGTTCCACTAATAGGAGAGAATGGCATGATGTTGAAAAAGTAAAGTGATGACAGGGTTCGTGCTAAGCGAGATAATATAGTTATAGTGGTGATGGTTGACAGAAACCTTTATTTGTTTGTCTGAAGTGCCAGAATGTGGTGCGAAAATTTTCTCTGCGGGGCCATTGGAACGTGCTAGTATAATAGCAGTAGAAGCAATAGACCCAGGATCTTGCTCCAGTAACGTTCTTGGCCTTAGCAAAGCTGACTAGAAGATGGCAAGAGCACCAAGGGTGAAAAGGATTCCTTAGAGAAGGCGGAGTGTAAATTGCCGTATGAAAATTCTTGGCTGAATAGTAGTTAATAGCCCTCTTGTTTCTGTGGAGTCCTCAACTCGCGCGAAAGAACTGACGACCTGTACCATGATTTGGCTAGCAAAAGTTTCAACCTCGCTTTTAAAAACTTCCGGGTTTTCCATGTACGTTTCACTTAGATTACCAAGCCGTCTTCCGGTCATGGATGCGAAGAAAGGATCGATACCGGTGAGATAGATAAAAGAGTGCGCTGCAGCACGAACTACGGTCTGATTGAGCTCTAACTGCTCCAGCGGGCCTGTCGTAGACGTTTGGAAACGAGAATCATTGGGATTGGTGAGATATGCGTAAGTGGCTTCCATAGATGTTTGGATGTTGACATCAACAAAAGATTCGTAGTTTATAGTGTAACTGGTGATCATCCCGGACGAGGCGTTGAGTTTGACAGACGCATCCCCAATACTGTATCGAGGATTGCAAAAGAACCCAAGAGATTTTCCAGCCTTGGGTAGATCCCAAATATCTTTTCTTGTAGGCACCCAAAGCGTCGCAAGAAGCCCGACTTCATCATCTTTACAACGTGTAACATTAATCCACGCACGCGCGTCTGTGTCCGTGCCGGCAAGACGAATCTCTTGACTGATATTCTTGGAGCATGCCGTGCCAGGATTGTTGGTAGTTGATGCATTTATTTGCCATTCCTCTGAAAACTGAACAGGGGGTGTTGTAGATAAATTGAGTTGATGACAATTCCAGTCCACTGTAAAGGTAGAGACGTTTGCCTCTAGTGATACATTCTTTGGTAGCGGCTTAGAGAGATTGAATTTGTCGAAAGCAAACTTCTCGCTTGTAAATGCTGCTGGTTGTCCACCTGATTGTCGCTCAGCAGCCACTGCTGCATATGGACGAGAGCCAGTAGGGCCTTTAGGCATCGCCAGTGTTTTGTTGTTAGAGTTGAAGAGTGTGTTATTGAAATTGAAGCTGGAGAGTACTGTCATAGTGGTACTTTCTTGCTTAATTGCCGAAAGATCCGTGTATGTTAAGCCGTTGTCAGTTGTAACCGCAGCTCCGGTGAGGAGTCAAGCAATGATAACCAAAACTAATGCCCAGTGTTTCCGTTTAACAGCGGAAAAAATGGCGAAAATCTCCAGATGGTTAATATAGTTGACCAAAACTGAATCTTGCGCGGTTATCCAATTGCCGCTGCTCAAAGCTGCCCACGGCGTGATCTTCTTAACCTCGATAGTTAAAGATTTCTAGATGAATCCGAGGGAAACGATACAGAAAGTAAGTAGGTATCTAACCATGAACACTAGGCCCTTCATTTCGATAGGTATGCCTTGGTTTCTCGTGACGAGGACGTCGAGAACTTCCAGTACTGCAACGAGCGAGAAGCAAGTGATGGCCAAAGGTAAAGTCCTCGAGAGCTTGAGAATTGAGGGAATCCATTCATCCTGCTGAGTGACTTTCGGTTGGGTTGAGCTGTACGCTGACATTGCATTTTCGCTATGCATGGAGTCCCTTTCATCTCCTAATCCTATTAGCGTAGAACATGTATATGAATCTTAAATACATACCGGGTAGTACCATCACGGCGGGATTTGACTGTGATGAATATTCGCAGTGTAACGGGAAATCGGCCTTGCCTTAGTTTCGAAATCTGTCATTAGATCATGACCAGGAAGAAATATCCGGCTACTTATAGCAGCACCAGAGAATATCCGGACTTGTAATACCGTGAATGAGCCTCCTTGGCTGTTACCTAACAGAGTACAATCTTTTTGGCATAAGGCTTTCAGCCGGCGCTAATTCATACGCCAACTACTGAAATTAGACAAGGCAGTAGGCAACAACATCAAAGTCTTATATATAGTAACACAACCCCCTCATTCCGTACGACCAACACCAACGCCCCTTGGAAGCTGAAGTGAAACCAACAAGCCGAAGTAACATCGAGTTTGTCAAAAGGTACTATTCTTACATCCCCTTTAATTATTTTAGCCTAACCTTGCTCAGACATTCCCCGTATTGGTTAGCGCTCTACGTCTTATCATTACTCCCCCTCTTTTCCCTTCCTAAAATAGCAAGCATGCGTTATCAGTACGCCCCTCAGCCTTGCCATCTGCGCCTGGCATCTCACTCGCGAGCACTGGCGTAGGCGTACAATGCACTTTGCAATTCTTTCTCCGCATCGGGGCTTGGTTCTGTGTCATCAATGTCAGCAGCTCCCCCTGTCAACAGCGCCAGTTTCGCATGCACAGTCTGCCCCTGCTGCTGGCTCAGTTGCACTCTTCGTCAGCGGTGACGGCGGTGGCTACGTCCCAGTTGCGGATGAGAAGGAACAAGGAAGAGTAGATGCGCATCATATGTTTGAATGTCTTCGGCTTCGTATATTAATCACTACATTTCACATTACTTATACCTCCTTACTTTTTCCATGCTCTGCCCTGTCGCAAGCATTTAAAACCAATAAACCCCATGACCTTTTTTATTACCCATCCCCTTTCCTCAAAACCCATCCATCGGAAACCACACCAAGTAACCCAGCCAATCACGCATCAAGCTCCGCCAGAATCACATCTGCCGCCTTCTCCGCAACCATGTAGGTCGACACGGCAGTGAAGGTGCCAGGCACACGCGGGTACACGGAAGCGTCAACAACGCGGAGACCCTTGACGCCACGGACGCGGAAGCTCGAGTCCAGCACAGCCATCTTGTCGTCATCAGCGCCGATGGGGCAAGTCGAAGACGCGTGGTGGCCCCAAGCCGTGTTCTTCACGAACTCCTCGACCTCCTCCTGGCTCTTCACATCCGGGCCGGGCAGCACCTCGGTGATGTTGACGCGGGAGAAAGCGTCGCGGGCAAGGCTGATCGCCTCGTACATGGCCTGCAGATCCTTGTCGTAGCCGGCGCTGCCGGTGTCGAAGTAGTTGTAGACAATCTCAGGGACGTCAAGCGGGTCCGACGAAGCCAGAGTAACAGTACCAGCAGTGTTCCTGGGGTGCGACTTGAGAATCGCCCACGAGAAGAAGTTGTGCAGCACCGTCGTGTTGTAGCTGTAGTTGGGGAAGTAGCCGCGGAAGTTGATGGGACCGCCGAACATGAAGGTGTCGAAGTCGCCCTCAGAGGCGGAGGTCTTGTAGTACAGCGCTGCGGCGAGGCCGCTAGAGGAGTAGATTCCGCGGCTCGAGTTCGCCTCGTGCTCCCAGCGCGTGATGCAGGGGTCGTCCTGGCCGCCAAAGCTGAATGTGCAACCGTCAAGGGCGGAGAAATCTTCAGCCACCTGGCCTTGCACAGAGACCTCGTAGTGATCTTGGAGGTTCGTTCCAACACCGGGAAGGTCCTTGACGACAGAGATATTGAAGCGCTTGAGTTCATCGGCAGGGCCAACACCGCTCAGCTTGAGGATCTGGGGCGAGTTGTACGCGCCGCCAGCGACAATGACTTCACGAGAGGCGGACGCGCTACCGGCAACACCAGCAGCACCCTTCGAGAGAGGGCTGGCGCGATAAAGGTGGGCACCGTCGAGGAACTCAACGCCGTTGGCAACAGGAGTCTCCGAATCGTCAAAGGTAACTTTCGTAACATGGCAGTTCATGCGGACATCCAGGGGGTACTTCTGCGAACCGTCCGCGTTGGTGGCGTCTCTAACAGCAACGACGAATTCGCGGGCACCAGTACGCTTGTGGTCGTTGGTGGATAGAGGGATTTGATAGAAGCCATTGCCGGTATCGCGCTCCTTGGTATTCGCATTGGCGTCGGCGGCGATAAGGGTTCCGGCATTGAAAGTAGAGTCGGTCTTATTGGCAAGAGCGTAGGCGCCAGCAACGAGAAGGTCGTACAGCTGAGTGTCTTCCGTGACGATGCTCAACGGAGCGACTTCGGTCTCAAGCCAGCCGTCGAAGCCATGGCCGTCTTTGCTTTGGGTATCGGTGAGGTACTGGTTCTTCTCCATCTTGACGTAGTATTTCCGCATGTTCTCGGCGGACCAAGACTTGTCGCCAGTCAAGGTCGCGATGTTCTCAAAGTCCGACTGGTCAGGATAAACCGCAATCAAGGCGTTGTGAGCAGTGCAACCGCCCAGGGTTCCGGTACGGGGATAGAGAACGCCTTTGATGCTCGCGTCCGCAGGAGGGTCCTGTCCGACATACTGCTCAAGGGCGCCGCTAGAGGTCTCGTACGTGGTCTTGAAATCTTTCTTCTGGCGGTCGTCATCGGCATAGTGCCTGACGAAGAAGTTCCAGGCCATGTGTTCGTCCTCGGAGGACCTCAGGGAGTAGGCGGGAATCGTGTAGTTGTCATTGGCGCCTTGGTCATCGCCGGCTTCGATGAGGAGAGTCTTGTGGCCGGCGAGGGCAAGCCTTGCGGCGAGAGGCCCTCCGCCTGCACCAGATCCGACAACGACGTATTCATAGCCAGTAAGATGAACTGCCTTGGCGAGCAAAGCTGAAGAAGCGGCAAGGCCGAAGAATCTGGGGATGAGCATCTTGAAAGAGTGCTGGGAGTTGAAAGAGTGAAGACTTGAGAATGGCTCTGGCCCTGGGTATTCCAAGCAGGACTCCGGCGGCGTTTAAATGGTTTCCAGATTGATCTTACAGCCTCACACTTTGCTGGATTTGGCCCGAGCAATGTTCTCTAGCTCAGCTTCGGCCTTCCCGTAGAAGACTAAGCGGTGTAGTTCAGTGCTGGCTGCCTTTTTTCATCAATTCTTATGGGGCGATTCTGGTCATTCTGGTTAGTGCTATCTTTGGCGTGGAGCGGTAAAGTGCGGATGTGGAGCTAACATGGCCGCCGCTGGTGGGTGGAAGCGGGAAACATGAACGTGGACGAAATCCAGCCGCGTACAGCCAATCGTGTCACCCACAAATCCGTTGCATAAGGTTTGTCGGTCCAATTGAGGCGGGTTGTTTCGTGAGCCGAGCTCCCCAGAGCGGGGCCATACCGTTAACACGCGAGGTTAAGGTTCAACCCGTCCCCCGTGCCCCTAAGCGCGGATCAACGTCCCGCCTAAAGCCTTCCCAAAAGGGTCTCTGGTCCGTCAAGCTTAACGCTACGTCGAGGTCGGTTGGGGACGTGTGTGCTGAATTTTGCTTCCAAGTTTTGCCGGACCGAGTTTCGGCGAAGCGGTTTGCTATCGCTTGACGGTTTCACCTCTCATTGTCCTTGCTCTTGAATTTTCGTTGGTCTTCTAGACTGTCAATGTGAACGTTGAAATAGCCTTCATGATAGTCGTACATAGTGTGCAAGAGAGGAAGGGATTCCCATGCACGACACTGGATGTCACCTATACGCGAGGCATTAAACTCGATACGACCATACGTAGCCGAAGGCCCACTGGGGCGAAGCTTTTCGAAGATTCTTCGGCTTCTTCTTTCGGCTCGGCGTTTCCTTTTGGGGACTTTTGCGCCGCAGTGGTTCGACGAAATTTCGAAAGGCGGTAAGGCCGACAAGATGTCCTGGCACGCCTGACTTCCATACACGTGTATTACGTGCTTTTGATTGCGCGATGATAGACAGAAAATCCAGTGAGATCGATCAGTTGGATGCACGCAAGTTGCAAGGGTCGAAGTGATCCTGTCGCAAGGTGTTTCCGTGTTTCCTAAGGTTACGTCCATCAGGTCACTGTCGCACGTCGCTTTCTGCGATGAATGTTGCGTATCCAAGGACAAGGCCTCGGACTTCACGTTGATGAGGTCTTCGTATCGTTCCCGGCCTGTGATGCGAGAGTGCGACATAGGGCCTTCAGCCGACGGAGCTTCGGATCCAGCTACCCGCAGAAAACGGACGCGCTTCAAGAGTATCAAGCATAGCCCAAATATGCGCGAAGCTGCGGGCGATGGAGGCTGGATATGGTGTCGCGGGTTTGTGTTGAGTTGAGAAACAAACGTGCGTGCGTGCCTGGTGGATGCCAGGATGCCTGGGGGTCCGGGCAAACGCCGGGTGGGAAGGAGCGTTTTCCATCCATCATCGCATCATCACTGCCATCAACATCACGGTAGGCAAGCAAGCAGCAGAGGAAGCCACCGGGCTTGTGACGCGAATCGCCTCTTCAATTGCACGTCGCCCGCAACACCACACACCCTGTGGAACGACCAGCTCATACCCACGAGCTCCACCGTTCCCTCCTGTTGCTCCGTCGCTCGCCCCGTCCCGCTGACGGCTTCTCCTCCCTGCTACACCGCCTCAACCATTACTTCAACCACTACCGCCGGCCTTTCGCGATGAGAGCAAGTGGCCGTGCAAAGGAATATGTACGCCGGCTTATACACAGGGGAGGGTTGGAGGGGACGACAATTGGAACGCGAAATTCAAGGCTGTCTTTCGTCGCACCTCCGGCGGCCTAGGCTGCCTTCGGAGAGCCTGTCCCGTGCTTTAAATAAAGTGTAGGCATTGCCGCGGGAGGAACTGCTGGTCATACACGATGTAAGCGCTAATGGTGCCGAGCGAGGGTTTACGGAGCGGACCACCGCACCACCACTCGCCAACCTGAGCTGCAGCGCCAAGGACATAAGCGGCAAAACTTCTTAGCTGACTCGGCTGAAATTTGGACCGCGATGGTCATCGTTATCTGCTGGTACGAGGAATTTTTGGTGCCTGTCCTTCTGCTTACGCTGTGTAGTTGCTTATGGGGTGACGGTGCTCTGCCGTGTCTGCCTTGGTGCCTGCCCTGGTGCCTGGAAGTACATCCTTGTTCGCATCACTTTACCCATGTTCAAATGCATGGGTCAACCGCTCCTGCTCGTTCTGACCTGACTACTGAGAACCTTTCTTTCCTGCACTACAGTCTAGAAACCTCACTTACTATTTTATTAACTAGCAATTCCGACTTCGAAACCTCACACATCTAATTTAGGCGTCGCCTGAGCCCCTTGAGTCGACAAAGAGCTTCGGCGGTGTGATCTCCTGTGGCTATGTCTGTAGATCTATTTTAAGATATCGCATCTGTGGACAAATTAAAAAGGCCTTCTGCTTACACCTGTATGCATGTATCATCCCTGCCACCCTCCCTGTATCGCGAATAAACTTAGCGTATCGTGTTTGGCCCCCACCCTACAATAAAATAATTAAAAAAAGGTCTACAGACATGTGCAAGCGGAAGCCGCAGCGCGTCACGATAGCAAAAAGCAGTACTTAAACAGCAATGTCTGATCACAGTCGAAACTCAGCATCCCATTGACAAAATGAGTTCCATTGCATCCGGCAACTTTCCCGTCTACCTTGGAGTCTGGATCAATTGGTCCAAAGGCCCTGTTTTCGGCTCGACTCTCACATTGACACGAGCGAAAGGCGACTTGCTTATTGCCTTCATCGCATTTTTTGTAACGTTTATTGGCACACGCCTGTGGCGCATATTGTGTTTGATTTTTCATACCACTGGATCGAAGCCATCGGCACAAGAGGGTTTCTACCACCAGCGCCAGGCTATTCTGCGCAACACCGCAAACGCCGACTCAGGACTTTACCGCCTGATTCAAATTCTTTACGCGTGGCGTAACACATCCAAAGCTGTTTGGCCTAGCCTCCTGCCTTCGACGATCACGGCTGCACTCGTCACTGCGGGCTTCATCGTCGCCAGCGGCTTCTCTTCGCAAATCAGCAGCGCGACCGGCGATGAGGTGCTGCTGACCGGCTCCGGCTGCGGGATTATGGAAAATGCAGACAACGACTTAAGTTCCGCTGCCTCTCTTTGGACACCTTACGAGTCGCGACAATGGACCAATGCGGCCAACTACGCCAATGAATGCTACGAAGAGAATAGCGCCACGGGTTTTGTGGACTGCAGCACATTCATCTCAGCTAAGTTGCCATTTAGCATGCAGACCAATGCGTCCTGTCCTTTCGACGAAGAACTCTGTGTGACATCATACGGCAATGTACTCCTCGATACGGGGCTATTAGATTCGCACGACCACTTTGGGATAAATGCACCAAAGAGCCAGAGAATCAAGTGGCGCAAAACGATGCATTGTGCACCACTGGTCACCGAGGGCTACAAGGAGACTAGTAATTCCTCTATGTCGCTACAATCACCCAAGCCAGTCTCGAAGTACTACTACGGCAGACGGCTAGATCTCGACAGGAACTTCACCTATAGGTACGGAAGCAACCCGCAAGATCATCCATACGACTTCAACATGGCACCGCCATCGTACACTATTGCTAAGGCTTTTGTTTCCCCGAGAAACGGCTCTCTTAGCGGCTGGGACAGCACACTTGAACCTATTCCTGGACTCTGGCGTGCAGACGGGGACCTATCCGTTAATTTCCTGTCAGCCAACGGTATAATAAACCTCTACAAGATCGATGATCCGTGGTTCAAAGCAACGACTCCCGGTATTCATGTTAACATACTAGGATCCCACCGCAACGACAACGGTTCCTCCTTGACCACCTATGTCCAAGACGAAGCCGCCTCGCCCATGGCCTGTCTCGAAAGGCAGCAACTCTGCTTCACTCCACCGGGACAAAGCACGCAGATATGCACCGACCTCGGGCCTACCAATGACTTGGTGCTCGGCATCTTGGCTAAGCTGTCTCGCGGATCATTCCAGGAGCGGGTCGGATGGTTCTACGCTGTATTAACGACACCATGGAACATAATAGCCACAATGAGGAGTGAACTTCAAGGCAGCCAGCTGCTGGCGCGATACCATCGGGCCTTGAACGGACAGGGCGCTTTGCCGAGTAACCAGTGGCAGCTGGAGATGCAGTATTGGTTCGCATCAATTTTAGCATCCGTACAGCAGGCGTTTGTCCGTGCCGCTACCGGTTCGCCTAGCCGTGACTTGGACCAGTATTTGCACCCACCGAAAAGCCCGGAGGGTAGAGAGATGTGCAAAAACCAGGTGAGTCTGAGTAGTGCTGCGTATGCGTTGCCGTTGTAGGCTGACTTCCTTGTGGTAGAAAATCAGAAGCAAAGCGTACGCTTCATTCAACATGTTCGGACTAATCTTCGTTGTCACTTTCGGCGCCGTCATCACGCTCATCTCGTACAGTATAGAGCCCATCATGGAGTGTCTGTATCGCCGCTCAAAACACCGAGACGGCTATGCATATCTAGGTGAGTACTGTTACTAAACAACACTTCGCGTATCTGCTAACAACAGCTCTAGAATGGGTCAGCAACTCGACACTTCAGACGCAGAGAATGGCGCACCAGAGCGTCGGAGCAGGAACTTGGTCGAAAGCCACCGACATGGTGCCTCTTACTGAGGCTGGAAATAAGCTCGCGACTCTGGATTTGCAGGATCCAGAGCAGCCGGTTCTGCGACGATCAAACGGGACTTTCGCGTCGGCTTTGGAGATGGAGGAAGGCAGTTCCATCTGCAGCGAGCAGTCGTCTACAGCGGCGGCCTCGGAGCAGCAGTCGGTAAAGAGTAGTGTGGATGCTGCGACGCAGGTTGCCATTGAAGAAGTACAACCGGCCACTAAGGAAGAGCCGCAAATTTCCGAAGAAGTATCCCCAGTCGCGGAAGAAGTACCGATAAGAACACACTCTCCTACGGTTGGATAACCGGGACGAACGGAAAAGTAGATGGATTTGTTCTAGTGATATGAAAATAGCACCAAGTACTAAAATATTATCAATATGCTATTTGATTCCTACGAGTAAATATAATAATCGGACTTACTTAAAGAGTAATTAAATAATAGGACGCTTATCAAGTTTCAAGATTTCTATTAAAGAAAAAAAGTAAGGTTGTAAAATTAATTAGAGTTTTTTTTTTAATAGTGAGTTGAGTTGAGTTGAGTTGTATTCATTTACCCTGACC